GCAAAAACAGAAGCTTGATGTTCAATTCCTCCCACTCCAGCACAAGCTCTCACATATTCACTTAATGAGGTGTTTTGCCCTTTTAAAGGCCCCAAAATACGCTTACATTCAGGATTTGCATTATCAAATGCTAATGTTTCCAATAATACCTTTGCTATTTGATCTTGACTCACTGCCCTCATTACAGCAGTACGCAGTGTCAGATCAGGCGGGGCAGGCAGCGACCAAAGGAGGCAGATTTAAAAGGGCCGCTGAACAGGCTTTATTGAGATCTCACTCCTGGGCAGAACTCGATCAGACCCACAGAGGGGACAGGGGAAGGGTCTGAGGAGAAACCACGTGGAAGTTTGACCGGACTGGACTTTTATGGGGCTTACAGCAGGAAGGGAAGGGCTTGGGGCAGGAAAAGGTGTTTCTAGGGTCCCTTTGCCCCCTTGGAGTTGGTCAGGGGAGTTGGCTGAACTCCAGGATTGGCCAGGGGGTCCTGCTGATTGACAGGTGTTAGTCAGGAGATCTGGCTGATTGACAGGCATTTCCGCCGGCATCTGATTGATGTTCTTTTCCAGCGCAGGCTGCTTTGTTCTAAGTTGACACTAAGTCGCCACCAAGTCGCCACCGACCTAACACACAGTCTAGCAAGAAAATCAGTATAAGGTTCAGTAGCCCCTTGTACAGTTTTAGTAAAGGAAGGTTGTGCTTGACCAGTGGGTATCACACATCTCCAAGCTCTTAAGAAAACCTGTTGAACTTGTTGAAGATCTGGATCTGTATATTGAGCCTGCTCTCTATAGGCATGGTAATTACCCTCCACCATTAACTTATCCTCCATAGGTCCCGGGGCGATTTTGAGCCTCATTCTCTCGAGCTTGTTTTCGTGCCTCATCTTCCCACCAACTTCTCAATTGTAACCATTGAGATCCCTCCAAAACTGTTTTGGCTAATGCCTCCCAATCCAAAGGAATAAGTAATTTAGAAGTTCCCAAATTTTCTAACATTCCTAACACAAAAGGAGACTGAGGGCCATATTGAGAGACTGCAGCTTTTAAATCCTTAATAAACTTGTATTCCACTGCAGTATAGTGAACATTAATCATTGGGGGATTTTGAAGGTTTTGTTGTCTAGTTATAGGAAACAAATGTGGTGGATCAACAAAACCACCAGGGGGAGCTGCAAGATCATCATCATCATGTATCATAGTAAGAGGAAATGAAAAACATTGTTGTTCTCTACCTACATCAATTCTATACTCTGTCATTGGCAAGAGAGAAGCATTAGAAGGAGTAGTAGGTTTAAGAGAGGACCTTTGCTTTTTTAATTTCATTTTTTCCACAAAGGCTTCCATAATTTCTTTCATACTGGAGTCACTATCTGAACTTTCTGAATCTTCTTCATCACCCAGATCTGATTTAGGAGAGTCATCTATAGTATCACAAATATCTTCCTTGGGCTCTGTTTTGTTAACCTTATTATCAGATTCTGATGTATTAACTTGGCTTTCACAAAGAGAGTCATTTTCATTATTGCTTTCTAATAATTGTAATGCTTGAGTAATAGCGCTACACAATGTCCAAATCTTCAAAGAAATAACATTCCCAGCCTGATGCTGCTTACGGAGCTCTTTCTGAACCAATTTCCATTCCCCTAAATTTAACTGGACCTTAGTTTGATACTGGAACCAGTGACAATGACATTCTATAATTTTAAATAACTCCTTGAGTCTCTTATGTTTTCACACCTATGGAATACGATAATCCTTGTAGTAACTCTACAATATTGTTCCTTTAAGGACTGGGAGTTTCCCATGTTAGTTCTGAAAGTCCCCCTAAAGTCTCTTTCAACCCGGGGTGATACCTTTCGATATTTTGTTAGTTCTGAAAGTCCTCCTTTCGTTTTCTTAACCCGGGGTGCTTGCCCTTTCGGTGCTGGATCCTGCCGACTATGCCAAATGTTGCAGTAATTCACTTGCAGGTCAGCATGGGAAAAGAAAGAAGCAGCAGAACAAGCAAAGCAGCAGCAGAAAAAAAAAAAAGTCCTTTATTGTGTACAAGCGATCTTTTTATAGTATTGTGAACAAAGACGGCAGCCTTCCAACAGCAATAAATCAGGTCTTTCAGCTAATTAAACATAGCATACAGAAGTTTACTTTCTAATCAGAAGTGACCCTCTTCTCATGGCTAATCTACTCTCGGCCCAGAGTATGCTGAGCTCTGCTCTTTGTTAAGAACAGATAATAAAATTTTTCTCAGCGCCCCCCCTAGCCCACTTGGCAGAACATCTCGTTTGCAGACAAGTCCTCCCAGGGACAGCAGACACCTCGTTTTCAAGCATGTCTGCTGTTACCTATCTATACCTTGACAGAATATCCCGTTTGCAGGCAGACTCCATCAAGGACAGTAATAGTAACGCAGTCACATCTGATTCTCTACACCCTACTTCAGTGAGGAGAAATCAGCAGGTAATGAGCACCACATGCTCAAGTACTGTCAGGTGAGCTCACAGTAGCTCTGCTAGGGATACAGAGGGAAGGGGAGGCCCAGAAGCCTAGCGATACCCCTACTCAGTCTCCAGCCCAGGGTTAAGACTCCAGGTGCCACTCAAGGAAAATCTGAGTCAAATGGGCCTGTGTCTAGGCCATACAACAGTGCCCCAGCTGTGGGTGTCACTTACCTGGTCGCAGAAGAAGCCTCAGGAGCCTCTCAGGCATGATGACAAATATTTGGGTCAACTCCAAGAAGTGAATTCACATTAACGCTTTACATGGGACTACAGCAGAGGTGTCTCACCTCACCTCACATCACATATTTCTCACCCTCTGGTGCTGAAGATCCATTCTAGACCTGCATCACCCCCACTGACCAGACCTGGCTCCACTGAGGCTCCCCACAAAACCTGAGTCTCTGGACACACAGGACAGGAAGGATGCCGACCTGATGCAGAGAGGCTTTTGCCTTTGGAGTCTGGGATTGCAAGTATTTCTTCCTGCCAGCCCCCAGGGACCTGTCCCCATGGCTCATTACCTAGACACAGACTGGCCTCCATTTTATCCTACTTCAATATTTCAGTGCATCCAACACAGAACTATCTCACTATACCCCTACTGGGTGGATAACCCCACACCAGTCCCAAGCCTGACAGTTAGGCCCTGCTGTGCTCTGCCTGGCCAACCTGGAAAGGGGTGGGGCATTCCAGGAGGATCCACGGAGTGTGGGGGACATGGGGCCCACTGGCAGAGACAGGAACACTGTTGTGTTGAATCATGTACCCAAAACTCACATATGGAAGTCCTCAGCCTCAGCACATGTGAGGGTACCCTCATATGGAAATAGGGCATTTTAAAAAAATATTTATTTTTTAGTTGTAGTTGGACACAATACCTTTGTTTTACTTATTTATTTTCATGTGGTGCTGAGGATCAAACCCAGGGCCTTGCATGTGCTAGGCGAGCACTCTACTGCTGAGCCACAATCCCAGCCCTGGAAATAGGGTATTTGCCGATGATCAAGCTAACATGAGATCCTCTGGGCTGTCCCTAATCCATTATGGCTGTCTTTATTAAAAGGGAACGCACGCAGGGAAAACATTTGGTGGGGAGTGGAGCTCTGCTGCCACAGCCAAGAAACTACAGAAGATGGAGCAACACCTGGAACAGACCCTCCCCTTGTGCCTCAGTGTGGGGCAAGGCCCCGAAGACACGTGACTTCCCCATCTGGACTTGATACCTGTGAGACAGCAGCTCTGTGGTTCTGAGCTACAAGCTTATGATACTTTGCTGGGGCAGCCTTAGGAGAACACAAGATTCATTCTGCTCCATCCACTATTCTTCAGACCACAGCTGCCTCCCTACACCCACGCCACAAGAAAGTGGGAGTGGAAGCAGGATCCTTCAAGGTCACAGCACTGCCAGGAGGTCACTTCCACTTCTTTTTTTTTTTAAATATTTATTCTTAAGCTTTAGGTGAACACAATATATTTATTTTACATTTATGTGGTGCTGAGGATCGAACCTGGTGCCTTGCACATGCCAGGCAAGCACTCCACCACTGAGCCCCAGCCCCAGCCCCAGAGGTCACTTCCATTTCTACCCAGAACTCTGGCCTCAGCTCTCAAATCTTGGGAGGGCAATGGGAGGATGAGGACAAGGAGAGACAAGAGGTCAGCCTCCCTGGAGTGGTCACTGAATCTCCACCCTGCTGCTTCTGAAGCACAGAGCTAGACAAATCCTACCTCTCACACCTCCTCCAGTCCTAACCCCTACCCTAACCCTTGATCCTGACCTTAATGTTGATCCTTGACTCTCAACCCCTGATCCCACTCATCAAGGCCAGCAAGCAAAAATGTCTTCTTCCTGTAATTATGTTAGAGCTCTCACCTGGGTCCTGCCCATTGATTAGATCCCCAATACTTAAAAGTAGGTAACTTTCTGACCATTTTTGTTGCTTTGGTGGAGCTACAGATTCTCAATGATCCCTACCTGTTTGTTTTCCACTGCACCATTCAGCCTGTTCCTGTTGGGACCTCAAGTTCAGATCCCTGGATCCATTTGGTTCACTTATTCTTTACATTTTTATGTTTTTCATGTAAGTCTCTGAAATAAGATTTCATCTTCATGGCATACAACTTCCACATAGCACATTCTTAAATATTTACATACAAATATAAAATTTTATATGGACTGCACTAATTGAAGTAAATAATAAAAACTTTCCTGTACTTTAAGACACATGCTATCTTTTAACATCCTCAGAATAAGGGGAAATTGTGTCAAAACATCTAATAGACATTCTTCAAAGTATGTTTCGAGTTGCCTATTCATTTATTAACTAGGAACAGTGGTTGGCCTTCCCTACATCCACTATAAATGCTGCAGAACCAAGCAATCCAAGTACCTGGTGAGAAGAAACATACACTAATGAAGGGGAAAGGAGTATTTTTTGAGATTTTTTTTTTTCAAAGAATGCAGTCGAGAATTTAAATCCCACACAGGAAACAGAAGCAATGCTGAGAGTAAAACATCATAACTACCTTTATTATTCACTGTGTTTATTCATGTATGTCAGCTCATTAAAATCACTGTTTCAAATTTCTTGGATCTCCACGCTGGAGAAAGGATTTTTATGTACATGCTGACTCTCATATTACATACTTGTTGTGCACAGATCTATGGCTTTTACCACTTTTCAAGATAAGTTGTGTGAAAACACAGACCCTAACAGTAAAGAGCCATCAGGACACGACGGTACGGCCTTGCTGACAACTACAGGATGACACCTCTGGAAACAAAGTGTGTGTTATGGTGAATTCTGCTGTGAGGTGCTTAATCACAAGAAAACTTACTTACAATTTTCCTTTACACCAACCTATTTCTCACATATATTACAACTATATTTTTAACTGAATTCTGGTTTAAAAATCACAAACCAACAAAATATAAACACAAAATGCTACAAAAAGTTTAACATATAGGGGAAACATCTCTTATGTATTATAGTGATTTTTATAATCTAGCATAAAGGCAAACGTGGTTTTTAAAAAATGCACTCCATATATAATTATAGGGGGGAAAATCAGCCAAGCCACCTAATGTAACATTTCACAGGTATCATTCTTTAATATCATGTCCACAGATTTCCATGTACAGAGAAGCCTACACGTCAGTGAGAATAGTGTCAACAGGATCTGCAAACTACAAAGTATCAGCAAATAAACTTAAATCATGCATTTCTCTCTGAAACAATGAAGCCTGGTTCTGAGTTACAAGGCAGGTAAAAACTATAAACTGACTTTCCTTAACGAGTGTATATTTACCAATCTAGGGTAATATGTTTTCCCAGCTACACATGCAGACTATATTGTGTTAAAAATCAAAAAGCAGAAAAGATCCAAAATAACCAGTCAAGCTACGATACCTAGAGAGACAGCAAAGGCCTCCCTGTGAGTCAGCTCATGCCGGGGAAGATGAACCAACACTGGGACACTTGACCCTACGTCAGCACATGCACTCATTATTAACAGTTTACACTAGTCTATTCTTTGGGTAAAAAAAAAAAAAAAAAAAAAAATCTTTAACAACAGCCAATGTTTTAGAATCAGCAATGGAATCAGTAACTTCAAATCATTTTGCCATCTGACTGCTAGACCCACAACTTGATAGAAAGCTCTCAAAACAAGGCCTAGAGAAGGTGGATCTCACAAATCACTGAGCTGAACTGTTCTAATGCAATGGAGCTACCAAAATACATACATCTGTTAAGAAAACTTACAAAACTAACAAATCTCTTTTTCTCTAGAATTATAAAAGATAAATCTATGAATCAATACTCTAATGTGATCACAGAGAGACAGCAAACTGAAGTCGAGCAGCACAAGCTGTCTGCAACGCTCCCTAATCTACTTTCTACCTGCTGAGGACTGGGCAACCCAACACCATGGAATCCATCATAGTCTTTAAAGACGTGAGATAAATCATCATCCCGATGGGCAGGGCAGAAGCAACTTGATGTATTACTTACACATGTAAATAAAGAGCTTGTTTTGTTTTCAGGATATGCTTCAGGAAATCACATGACAGTGGTTCTTTACAATTCAGGTAGCAAAAGGGGTCAGAAAAACACTCTTGGAAGTTCTTTGAAATTCCAAAAAGACAGCTGGCAGTTTGATGTTTTTATTCCTGCTCCCCCACACACAATTTTTCCTTTCAAAAATTACAGTTGACAGCTCACATAAGATTTAATTAAGTTGGTTGAAATAAGGGAGGGTGTTTCAATAATGTCTCCCCTCTAGAAAACCAAGTTCAGCAGAACTCAGTGCCAGTAATTAAGAGGCCAATACCATAAAATTCAAACCTGGGCAGTGATACATCACACTGAGAAAAGATTTCACATATTTACAAAGCTGAGCTTCACCTCCCACAGGCAATTCTGCTTCAGGTGCACTTTGATGTGTGCATGCACCTGCAGGGGATGGGGGAGGGGGGCAGTCGGCAGAACATCGTCTCTGCTGCACTTCAGTGTTTTAGCAGAGCTAAACCAAGCCGCCTGACTTGAGGAAAACACTCTTCTATGCAGCATACATCCTGTCAGATCATGTTTAAAGATATCACAGCACTGAATCAGAACTTTAGAGACACAAAGAAAAAGAAAACTACGACACGGATGAGTACAGCAGTCCCTTCCCATGGCATCTGCTCCCAGGAGACACCTCAGACGGTACAATCAGACTCCAATCGGCTCTTCCTCGCTTTCTCCCTTCAAACAGAAGTTTATTTTTCTCTGTAATAAAGCAGGTAGTATTTCAGGGGGTCTGGCAGAGGGAGGCTCAGGACCTTCTGGCGTAGGAAGTTCACTGGAGGGTCTGGCTTGGTCTCTGGCAGGGTTTTCTCTTCTTCCCTCCGCTCTTCTTCCAAGTCTTCACAGCTGTTGTCATCGGAGGGGTTGGAAATACGACTAGCAAAGACCTCTTTGTCCAAAAAGACAATTGTTTCCATTCTACGGCGGCGGACCCTCCTTCGTTTACACCGAGGCGTGTTCTTCAGTCCACTTCCACTTCTGCTCGCTGCTTCCTGATGAATGACCTTCTTGATGGTGCCCCTGATGGCAATGCGGGCCAAGTCCTGGAGGCTGCGGACAGCCAATGGTGCTGCAAACAGCAAGAGGGCAAGAGGGTCTGAGCCAACACCACAAAGCCTGAAGGTTTGAACCTAATGGCACCTGAACTCACTGGCTATTCACAAGCACTGCAGAATGGGAGCGCCTTTTAAGCAAGTGTTGATAAGTGCTCTAATCTGCATTCTGGGGTTTTCCCAAAGCAAGTTCAGATACACTAATTTTTAACAATGAAAAGGAGAGAAAGCAATATTGCCTGGCTCGGGTCATTGGCAGAATTAACTGACAAGCTGTCACCATTTACTGTGTTCATTCATGTACTAACCCATGCAGGGTTACACAGCAGAGCTAACATTCTTCCATCTATTTTAACACTGTTCTAGCAACTTATAAACTGAGTATTTGTTCCATTTCTTGTTAAAGTAGATAAGAGCAAATTTTTTTATTAAAGTGGAGAAAAACAAAATCCCCAGAGCACAATAAGGAAAAAGATCATCTGGCACTTGGGGCAGAGTGACACTGGCACACAGTGAACATGCACAGCAGCACACAGGGCTCTTCTCATGGCCACCCAGGTCCTGAGACACCACAGGGACAGCTATCCCTAGGTCACAACCCCTCCTCCTGCCACCCCCAGTGTTGTTCCCTAAGGCTCCAATGTCCACCATCCTCCTTTCCTGGCATGCCTGTGTCCCTGGTTTCACATCCATTCTGAGGCTTTATGTAAGAGACCAGCTCCCCAGGTTCTAGTCCAGGCCCAAACAACAGCCACAACACAAAAGGGACACCTCAGGCTCCCATGTCCTTCCTCAGAAAGGTCTGCACCCCTGAACCTTTCTCACTGCAGAGCCCACAGCATCCTGACTGGTTCTGGTCTTTAGCCTGCCTGCTTATCCACCCAGCTGAGAGGTGACCCGAGTGGGGCATGTCTAAGCTACACACCCTCATGGTACACTGGCTTTATCTTTGCCAGTTTCCTACCCCACTGTCTCCATTGGCTTTACTTATCTAGGAAACTCTGGCCCAGGAAGACACAAGCTCAGAGTATCTTTCTTACTTTGGGAACCCTAAGCAGCATTAGGTGACTATGCACCACCAGCACTGGCTTTGAAGGCCTCCCTCAGAACAAGCATCTCAGACAGCCAACCTGCCATCAGGACCGTTATCCAGGGCTGATTCAGCCTCCCACAGAAACACTTTCAATAAGACCAATAAAAAGTCTCATAAACACTCCAAAAGAGCCCTTGTCTTCCTAAACTCTGCTCTAGCAACCTCCCTTATCAACAGCAGCATCTGCTGAGAAGTTTCCACGCTGCTCAGATCTCTAGAACATGCATCTGACAGACTCCCCCTGCAGGCAACATGCTGCACACCTAAATGTCTGGTGGCCCTCCACAGCCTCCTGGTGAACTCAGATCTACCTACACACCAGTCCAGCTTCTCCCAAATGCCCAAGTTCGACCACATTGGGAATATGCACTTTTAACTTTGCCCTGCTTCTGCAAAGACCTTTCCTCCCCTCCTCCTCTCTTTAGGGAATTCCTTTTTACCTCAAGACCAAGCACAACCACCACCTTCTATCCAACCTTCCTTGGTCCCTCTAAGCCCCTTCTATTGCTGCTTCCACTGTTGCTTGTTATCAGATTTTAAGGACCAATCTATGTCATATGACTAGAAAAGTATAATTATTTGATAATGATTCCTCTCATTCTGAAAAATATTTCTGGAAGGAACTTGCTAAAGTATACTTCTTTGGGTATTGGAACTATGTGTGATATTTTCTTTCTCTCTTTTTTAAATCAAATCAGCTGGAACTCTCATTTCTGTGTGAACTGTTTAAATCATAAAATCCTAGGAGAAATGCTACTCTGGCGCCAGCTCCTCTCCGCTCTGCTCCCAGAAGAAGGGAAATGCAAAGGCTCACAGCAAGCTCACCCACAATGGCAGAGGAGCATGGACACTGTCCGCCCTTGGTCTGCCCAGCTGGCAGCAGGTTCAAGTGTGATCACTCTCTCCCAGTAAATGAGTCAAGCGGTTTCAGTGTCCAAAGGCAGGACCCGCTAGCTCCCTTTCTGAGAATCCACTGCTATCAATGGCATGACCAGTAGCAGCCCTTAACAGATTTAAAAGAAGCCTAAAATAACCTAAGATGGGTGACAAACAGGTTATAATTTTTAAATGCCTAAAATCCCCTGTACAATCTTAAGGTTTCAGTGGGGAGTGAACATCCAATTTTCTTATAAATCTTGTTTCCTTTTGAATTTCTAATGAGATTAAAAGATCTGTACGTCAAATACGGTGCATTTACTCACGTAGCTGGACAAGTCTGGACTTTCCTGACTCCGAGTGGCAGGGCTGGACCAGAGGAGCGAAGGAAACAGCCAGAATCTTTTTGGTTTCCCAAGCAGAAGGGCCTATACGCGTTATCTTGGTCAACTATCCCAAAGACAAAAATGAGAATATCCAAAAAATTTGTCTACTAGATAGCTTGTGAGTGCAATCATTCTAATAAATAAAACAGATACACTAAAATAAAACTGCCTGACAACATGGACCTTAACATGATACTGCATGAGTACAGCTCACGAGTATTCCTAGAAAAATTCTTAAGATGGAATTTACCCAAGGCCCCAGACACACCTCTGTTTACAGAAAGTATCTGTGACAGAGAAACTAGAGAAAGGACAATGGGAGAAAATAACCAGAGATCAGAACAGTGGGGATTCTCATAAGACATTTTCTTGGGTTCTTCTAGGTTGAAGAGGGGCTAACTTTAGGAAAAGTAACTGAAAATGCACAACCCCACCCCAGCCCAGCCACACCCAATCCTGAATCCTGGCCACAACTAGGGTGCAGGAAAAGTACCAAGGGCAGGCATGGCTGCACTTGGACTCTTCAACTTTCCATGTCATTCTGGACACCTGGGCGACTACTCTGTTCCTTCTGGAGAAATGTCCTGAGGCCCCTCACAGTGCACAGGAATTTGTGGTGATACACTGTAGTGTTGACTGTCAAGACATTTCTTCTGAAATAGAGGATAAGGGCCAGAAAACCTAATCAGACAGCAAAGCTGCCACCTAGGCTGGTTTCCAAACAGCCTAAACAGGTCACTGTACTATTTTTGATCATGCTAAAATTAGATGTTAGTCTTTTGAAAATATCTAAGCTGGCAAATCCTATAAAAGGTTAAGTAGCCATGTAGTGTGTGTGTGTGTGTGTGTGTGTTTTGTACTGGGAATTGAACTCAGGAGTACTTAACCACTGAGCCAACATTCCCAGCCCTATTCTGTATTTTACTTAGAGATAGGGTCTCACTAAGTTGCTGAGGCTGGCTTTGAACTAGCAATCCTCCCATCTCAGCCTCCTGAGTGGCTGGAATTACAGGTATGTGCCACCATGCCTGGCCCATGTACTATAAATATCAACAAGTTAATTACTTTCTCATGTACTAGCAAAAAATTTTTTAATTTTTTTTTTAGTTGTAAATGGACACAACACCTTTGTTCTGTTTATTTTTATGTGGTGCTGAGGATCAAACCCAGTGCCTCACACATGCTAGGCAAGTGCTCTACCACTGGGCCACAACTACAGCCCCTTTGATATTTTTAAAAAGAACTTCTAGCTATAATGAACATAAAATATTTAAATATAATCAATAAATGATGTGTGAGACCTTAAATAAAACTATAAACCCCCATTTCATATTCTAGACAAACAGAAGAAATATTATAAATATTATAACTATGTCCACAATCCTCAAAATTATCTGGAGATAAAATGATTCCAATGAAAAATTTAGTGCATTTTTGTCACACAAAGCAGAGTGATAACATCACCTGTGTAAGCAGAGAAATGTTTACAACAACACTGAGTGGAAAGAGCAGAGGAGACAGGTGCCCAAGCCCTCAGAGGCAGCGGCAGCCACTCAGGCAGCAGCTGGCCAGCACACAGCACTCCCATTGCACTGACCGCACTGTCTGAAGCGGCAAAGCCTACAGCACACAGCCTTGAGCAAGCACTTCTACTTGTGAGGAGAACAGAGCTTTTATCTTTTGTAGTTACATACTAAAATATTTGTGAGATTGTACCTGGAGAAGATACAAGGATAGTCACATCACAAAGAGGTGTACACACAGGCCTTCCTGGGAGCACTGTCAGTGACAGCAGAGGATGAGTGAGCCAAAGTGCCATCACTAAACCATATTCATTCTATACCAACAAAAGGTTTTAGAAATAGACAACGGGAAGTGGCAAAGAATTTCTAGATACTGTGAACACCAAATACTTAGAAATAATAGATATAATATCTACAAAAAATAAATAAATAAAACTACAAACCCTTTTCACACATGGCCGGGTGGGCAGACAGTGGAAGCACTAAAGGAGGGTTAGGAAGAAGTTTGCCTGCGTACTTTTTTAAGCAAAGAGATTTATACTAAAAGCACACCACACAGTGGTCACCACAGGCAAGGGTACAAGGGACAAGCCAGGAAAAAAAGTCCCTGTTTAGACTTGGAGCCTCGTAACCACTTCAGGAAGTACACACCTAGAATGGCAACCCCTAAAAACTGAAAGGAAAGGAGTAAGCTGTGCGTCAGAAGTAAAATCTCAGCCGGGGTGTGGCTCAGTGGTGGACCACTTGCCTGGCTTGTGGAGGCCCTGGGCTTGAGCCCTGGCACGGGGGGCGGAGGGGTGGGTAGCAGTAAGATCTGAACAGGTCTGAACTGGTTTGGGTGGCACTGTCACTGCAGGTAGACAAGCAGCAGAGAGAAGGGTGGCACTGTGGCCAAGACTGGCTCCTCAGAAAGTCCCTGGTTCTGAAATCTGCTTGGAAGCTGCCAGTACGAACCCACAGTGCACTCTATCTCCACACCAAGCAAAACTGTCTGGCTCCACAAATCCCTGCACACACAAACCCAGTGTCAATGAGCACGCTGGGCCCCAGCTGTGGCCTCTCAACACCAACTCCCACCAACATATCAACCCTCAGGTCAAAACCATACAGACTGACCCTGGAATGCCTTTTCTCACCAGAAAGCAGTATAGCCATCACAGAGGTAGAGGGTGTATCTGGCCCAAGACAGGCGAGAATCACACCAGTACTAAAACATGAGGCCTGTTCAATCTAGGAATTCATAAAGATGGTAAAATGCAAGCAAAACCTCAGTGATCACTACCTTTGGCAGATGTTAGAGGATCCAATTATTGAGAAATTAATAAATAAAAGTTAAGAATCAAAATTTATCCTCTCTCTCTTGTATAAAGTTACCTTAGGGGAATCTAATTAGTAATGAGAGGTTTTCTCTTCATAAAAGTACAATAGCTACTAAATAAAGAAGAAATGATAAAATCAAAAGGGTATTATTCTACAGTTTCTAATGAAATAATCCATCAGGTTCTAAATCATGGCCACAAGCATCAGAAAAAATAGACAACAGGCCTGATGTGCCTACACACAAAAGTCAGGCTGACTCTCTGTATCCAAGGCTTCTGCATCCGGAAATTCAACCAACCACATATCAAAAACACTCAGGGAAACAATGTTACCAAACATGTACATATTTTTTCCTTGTTATTTATTCCCTAAACAATACAGTATACAACTATTTACAAAGCATTTACATTGTATCAGTGTTGTAAGGGACCAGAGGATGCACATCAGCTATATGCCAATGACATGATACATGATTTTTTTAATATTGATTTTTTAGTTGTAGATAGACACAATACCTTTGTTTTATTTATTCATTTTTATGTGGTGCTGAGGATCGAACCCAGGGCCTTGCACATGCTAGGTGAGTGCTCTACAGCTGAGTCACAACCCCAGCCCGATACGTGATTTTATATGAGAGGCCTAAGCATCCGTAGATGTGGGCATCCTGAACAGAGGATGGGTACCAAACAATGACTGCATATTTCAATACCTGGCAGATGTTCCTGTGCTCTCGGCCCCAAAATATATCGAACAGCACCCTAATCAAGTCTCTAGATCCAACCAGCAACACAGAAAAAACAGAGGACAGAGGACAGCAAAACCTAGACTGCAGGAAAGTCTACAGGACACATCAAGGCGAGTCCTTGAACAAATAAGCTGCAAAGAAAAAATGAAAGTGAAAGATGCGAGAACCTCTAGACCTAAAAGCACTTCAGAGTGGTACCAACCAAAGGCATCACACCAGCCTTAAACACGATCCCGTTTCAAACAAGCTACAGGGAAGAAATTTCTCAGTCAATAAGGAAAATCTGAAAATGAACTGGATATTTGAATATATTAACAAGTTACAATGGCTACTGGCTATTAATGTTACAAATGGTCTTATAACAATGTTTTAAAAAACAGAGCTTTTATCTTTTGTAGTGACATACTAAAATATTTACAATTTTTAAACCTAGGGGCATTCACTAATGTTTTTATAATAAAGAGTGAGTAATAGTGAGATAGTACACACCATCTAATGCTTGAAAATAGTAGCCAGTAATAAACAGTTCAACAAGCATTTTGGTGTAGACACCAAAATGATGGAGAATAGTGGATGACTTAAAATCACATTCCTGGACTCTGATAGGTAAAACAATGTCAGTTATAACCAGTATGTTCAATAATCTTTTTGAAAAAGGAGCAGCACAGATTAAAAGAATTAAGTCAGGTGCAATGGCACAGGCCTGTGATCCCAGTAACTTGGAAGGCTGAGAAAGGAGGATCACAAGACCAAGGCCAAACTCAGCAACTGAGCCAGACCCTCAGCAACCTAATGAGATCTGAGACTCAGTCTCAAAAATGAAACAGGGCTGGGAATGTAGCTCAGTGGCAAATCCCCCCCATCCCCGGGTCAATCCCCAGTACCAAAAAAATAAATAAGTAAAATAAAAGTGTTCCAAGAATCATATGTTGACAGTAATTAGATTAAGACTATGAGCAGTTCTTCTTAGTTCATATTCTCTGGATTTTCTAAAATGGGTATTACTTCTGGAACAAAATAAATGCTAATATTTAAAAATTGCACAAAAGTGCACAACCTCCTAATTTATAACATTTCTATTTTTTCCTGGTTCTTTGTAACTGACAGAAATTTCTCCTGAGGACCAATTCACACCTGACATGCCCATGTATTATAATCTCTTTTCCCAATGAAACACAGTACCTAAACACATACAAACATGCATGGCCAAACCAGAACCTTGGAACAGGATTCCCAGGAAGCAGAGGTTCTTATAAAGTACTCACCACCAAGGTACTTAACAAGCAGACTAACAAAATGAAATAATTCTGATAATTTTATAAATTACAATTCTGGTATTAGAACAATTGTAATAACAATTAGAATAACTAGGGTGAGGAAGGAAGGAGGAGAAGAGGGAAGGAAAGAGGAGGGGAGAAAAGGAGTGAGAAGAAGGAGAGAGAGAAGGAAAAGAGGAACAGGGAGGGCCACACATCTAAGTCAGAGCTGGCCCAACACCATGCCTGTGACTGCCTGTCTCCTAGCTCACGAGATGGTAGAAGCTGTTACTAGGGTATATCTACATAAAATGCAGAGGAGACCTTGGCAGACAGGGCACAAAATGTCAGCTGCAGGGAGCCTGACCTTCTCCTCCAGGGGCATGACCAGAATTCCTCCAACCTTGAGAAGACTCTTCATGTACTCTTCATGTTCTTTCTGCACACCTGCCCCACAGTACACCCGATCATACTGAGAACAATCTGGGGAAATCTCCAGGCAATTGCCAGTAACAAAGGAGGGCTCGCAGAAGTCAAACCTGGAAAGAAAAATGTGTTTTCTTTAAGTGACTGTACCATACTGCCATAAGACCATACAAAAATTCATACTGATCACAGGTTATGGTTCACTGTAAAACCCAGAGAACTGTGAGCTGGGAGCTGAAGCCACGATTCCAAAACCCACACAGTGCAAGTAAACACCATGAGCATGCCCCAAGTTTAAAGTGGGCTATAGTCAAGGTCAGCTGGACGGCTTGATGAGGGAGAGAAGGAAAAAGCACATTGTTTCCCTAAAAAGTCTAATTCCTAAAATAAGAACTTCGATGCCTTATCCTAAAGTGGCAAAAAGTAGTTATATAAATTGTTTAAAGACAAAAGGAACAACTGTATTTTACAAAAAATTTTGTGATAAAAAGTTGTTTATATTGGAAACACGGAAATTTAGCAAGACAAAAATTTTTGTTTTCTTCTCGTGTTAGTGAAAAACTGTCTTTAAACAGGAATCAGAAAACCTAGAGTCCTTACAGAATATATAAACAATCAGAAGAGGCATACGGATGACCTGGGATCATGCCAACACAGCTCAGGCATGCTTGCAGGCAGGTGCACACTCAAGCCAACTTCTATCTGACCAAAGTTTAAATTCTATTTCACACCCTCTAGTGTCTGACGTACTTGTCGAAGCTATCACTTGTTCTGATGAAGAAGTCCAGTTTCTGCTTTGCATACTCTATAACATCTGAATGTAGCTCCACCCCATGGTTCACACCAAAAGGACCTAAAAGGTTTCAGAATAAAAAAGTTTTTAGCACTAGAGAAAGAACACTTGCTTGCTTTTTCTACTTCATTAATTGCAACACATCTAACTTAGCATGTATTATATATAAACTCACAAGGTTTTTTGTTTTTACAGGAGATTAAACCACGAATGCTCTACCACTGAGCCACACCACAGCCCTTTTTATTTTTTATTTTGAGACAGGGTCTTGCTAAATTACCTAAGCTAGCCTGGGACTTGCACTCCTCCTGCCTCAGCCTTCCAAGTTGCTAGGAGGACAGGTGTGGTTACCACATCCAGCAAAATCCCAAAAGGTTTTGCTGTCTTAGCACAATGGCAGGCCTAAACCCCTCAAGCCACTTTTTCGATGTATACAGCAGCCCCATTCACAACACAGATGCTCGGGTCTCTTTGCTCTCAAACAAGAATCATTTGAAAATGGGGTGGGGGAGCCAAGAGCTCAGGGTCTTCCTACTAAATTACAGAGGAAAAGTAAACATGCAAATGGGACAGATAGAGGCCTCAGCTGTGCTTGTCCAGAGGCAGCATTTAGGGCAATTCTGTTTCCCACTAAGAGGATCCCCAAAACACTCAGACATAGGCATTTTAATAATTCTCACAAAACAGGCTTTAATTATCGTTAGAATAAAATTATTATTAAAAGGCACAATGAGACATTTTTTAAATTTATTTTTTAGTTGCACTTGGACACAATACCTTTATTTTATTTATTTATTTATTTATATGAGGTGCTGAGGATCGAACCTAGGGCCTCGCATATACTAGGCAAGCACTCTACTGCTGAGCCACAACCCCAGCCCCACAATGAGACATTTTTTGTATCATAGGGAATGTATCCATAAGTTTTTTGTTCGTTTGTATGTTTGCTTTCTGGATGTACTGGAGAGAGAACACAGGGCCTGTGCATGCTAGGCAAGCACTAAGCCACATCCTCAGCCCTTTTTATTTTATTTTTGAGACAAGAGTGTGTCTAAGATGCCCAGGCTCACCTTGAATTGTAATCCTCCTGTCTCAGGAGATTGTCAGAAATTGCAGGAGTGTGCCACCAATTCTGGCTATGTATCCATAATTTGAAATAAAACTGTGAGACTATTCACAAGCCCACATGATGAGGAAAAGCATTCCCTCCTGTAATCATGCTTCTAGATTAGTTTGGGGCAAGCAGAGAACACTTTACAAGCAGCTTACACCTCTGTACACCAAGTTCAACCCAGGCTCATTTCAACAATGCAAAGGAAAACAGAGCACGAGGGCAGGGTGTGAGCACCTTCTCTGCACATTGTTCTGGGTGGTGCTTACCTGGAGGTGGACATGGATATAGAAGTCCACCAAACTCCATGCTTCACCTTACCCATCACTAAAACTCAACATGAGCAAACCCATGGGGCATGTAGGATTTTATTACTAGACATACACACTGCACTCACAGTGTATGTGGCATTGTTTGAGTGGTACTCAAACCAGAAAATACTGATGAATGAGCAAATGCCCATGCACCTGATATCTGAACTTTGGCTCCTGGATACATCTGGACAGCCCTCTCCCCAGGCCAAGCATCTACTCTTTTCTCTTAGTATCTCTCACACATCTTTAGCTGCTGCTAAACATTCCCTCATCAAGACACTCTTCCTGAAAAGTACTATATTTGCTAGTTACAACATCAAACCTTAAAGTGTTTCACATTTTAAGACCCTTGCCAATCACTGACTTGAATCCGCATTAGTCTAGCTTGTGTACACTTGACCCCCTTCCATCATTTTCTCATTAATCCCCCAACTTCAGTGGCAAACATTCACTAGACCTGATTTCCCAGCACTTGAGAAGCAGAGGCAGGAGGATCCCTTAAGCCCACAAGTTCCAAACCAACCTGAGCAACCTAGCAATACCACATCTCCAAAAAGAAAAAAAAATTAGAAAATGCTAAGTAGTTACTTCTATTTAGTAGTAGATACAGGACATGGTCCCTATTCCCAAGCAGCTCACCCACCAAACAGCAGTAACAGATCCTCCACTAGCAGAGAAGCATGATATGGTGGGCAGGGTAGTGCCTCAGGACATGGTACCACACATGCTGTGGTCAGACTGCAAGACCCCTCCAAGCAGAGCAGCTCCCACATACAAGTCCCTCCTTCAGGCATGTTATCTCATGAACCACCATCCACCCCTCACTGGTAAGAAAGAAGTAAAGGGGAACTGTGGATAAGGGGAGAGGAGCTTGCAGAACAGCACAGGGAGGCAGGTGAGATAGAATGAACCAGGGGAAGGCAGTGGGGTCAGGAGGGCCACTGCACCAAAGGAGACCCAGACCTAGTGTGCACAGGTGCTGGAAGGCCAACAAGGTCTGATCTCTGGAGTAAGGTGTGTGAGGTGGCAAAAAGGCCAAATACACCGGGGCATCTGGATGCAAATAGCCAAGATTCTGAACTGAGAGCATACCCCAGAGCTGCTTTGCCCACACCCACCACAGCAGAAGACACACGCTTTCCTGCAGACCTCAAGTGTAATTCCCAGTACCCAGGGGACCCAGAAAGGAGAAGCAACAGTATCTAGGGTGTCTAGGTTACAGCATCAAGCTGCAGGCACTCTCTTCTTTACCTCTAGGGCATCCAGAGCAGCAGGCTAGCCCAAGCTTGCTAGAGTCAGGCTTTCCAAGCATCTTTCTCCTGTCAATAGCATTTCTAATCTAACCAGTTTTAAAGTCTACTTCCCAAAAAACACCAATTTAGCCAAGGTTCCTCCAATTGTTCTGATATGAGGAGGGAGACTATAACTGGCAAGTTTAAAAATGATAAATCATCTGGGCATTGTGCTCTCAAAGCATGACAACCACAACAGTCTCAACCAAAACAAATTGAGTAAGAAGATTAAGTTAAAAACAAAAACGTACACACTTTAAAAGTTGAAGACAACAATCTATAACCTAGAGCCAAGTGCCCAGTCTCAAATTTCACCAAATTCCAAAGTTCACAAACTTAAAAAAGAATCTAAACTTTTTATTCCATATCCACAAAAAATCAATTGTGACTTAGGGTTCTCCAGAGTGACAACAATTACAAAAAGCAGGGACTCTGACATACATGGTGATGAGTTCTCCTTGACTTGTAAGCCGTCCTTAATATTCAGAATTTCATACTCCAAATACTTAGGCCACTGTGAACATCCTTGTTTTGTTTTGAAACACAATCTGGCTGCATTGCCCAGGCTGGTCTCAAACTCCTGGGCTCACGGGACTCCACTTCCTTGGCTTCTCAAGTAGCTGCGACCACAGGAGTGTGCCCACACCCAGCACACTATGGATGTTCCTGATGTTTCTTTCATAGCCACAAACAGTCCAACAGCAAATGCCATCAGATCCAATATCAAAAAACGCCAACTGTAGCCACACCACACCGGCCTCATCCAGGGTCTCCCACTCAGCTTGCTGTAGCGAGCGACCCAGCCCAATTCCTCTTCAGAGCATCTCTCATAGCACAGAGCCACTCCTTCCATTTCCCTAGCAAACACATCCCACCTCACTCAGAGTAAGAGCACATGTCTTTCCCCCAGTGTAGCATTTTACACAGGGCAAACATTCAGTAAACCCTTGGATATCTGATCCCCCCGCTATAAATATTAGAAATGGCCTTATTCCCACATGATTGCCACAAATTGTTCAGGAAAATGAGCTAAATGGCTTCAAGTAAGATAACCTATGAAACTGCTTCCATTCCTAAAGTTTATTTAAAAGTATATAAACTTACAGGTATTACTCTTTCGGTATCAAACATAAAACAAATAGAAACTACTTAGAAAAACTTAAACTACCAAGGACCATAATGACTCTCAGTGGAAAGGAGTAAAGGGAACACAGTGGTTAAGTCAAGAAATCACAAGTTCAAGATCTACCCTCCTCTCCTGGTGGTGCATCGGCCATGACAGACTGCAGGCTGAAAGTGAGAAGAGACAGGAGAGAGGCCCTAAGAACTTGGGACTCATGGATGCATGTCATCTGGCCACCCACCATACCGTGACGACACTTCTGGCAACTTCGGGGAGGCCAAGTCTCTCACAGGACATGCAGTTAGCAGACTGTACTTTATGCCCAAAGAGAGCAACCTCAGGCAATGATCCAGGGAGCTGCACACTCTCCTTCTACACTCACCTAGAATAAGGCCCACCATGGAGCTGAGGTAGCCAGTGCCACTGCCCAGGTTCAGAAACGAGAGCCCAGGCTGCAGATCCAGGGCCTCCATCACCTCCGAGTAGATACATGGGGCGGAGAGGTGAATGTTTCCATGCTTCCATGCCAAGTCCTTGTAGGCATTTTCTTTAAACTCTTCAAGATAATAATCTGCACGATCAATAGCACGGAAAGCCTGCTCTACCAGTTCCGTCCGGATATACTGGGCTTCCTTCAGATTATCAATCAGCTCATCGTTGTCCTCTCCAGCACTCACCGCACCGCCCATGTTCAGAATTACACTCAGGCAAGACTAGAACCAAAATCAAAGAATTATTTACATTAAGAATAAGATCAAAACAATAAAAGATCTAAATATACCAAATTCAAATTCTCAACTCTGGAAATAATACAGATGAAATGTTTTGTCTAACTACCCAACCCTCCAGATTTAGATGAAAGATACCAGATTTAGAAGAAAAGCCCAGTTCAATTAGAAAGTCAAGCCAATAATACAAAAAAAAAAAAAAATTGGATGTTTATCTGAAATTCAAATTTAAGTGGTGTCTTAAATTTTGTCTGGTAATTCTACACCTCTACACACAAAAAGACCCACTTAAGTCAAACACATCCAATGTGTTCATTTGGGTATTTTGATGTTCAATTTTTGGACAAAATATCAACAAAACTTTCTTCCCAAAGAGAACACATTGTGGCAAACACCTATTGTAACAAGCACAAAATGAACTTCAAAGCTAGAAGCTAGGGAGCAGGATCAGCAGCTACCAGAACTCCCCATGCCCACTTCTGAAGGCACCATGCAGTTCTCCAACTCTCCCAAAAGTGCATTTCTTACTTTCTCCCAAATTACTTTCAGGGAGGAAAATGTGCAGCACCTGCCTGTCACCTTTCAGCCCAACTTCTGCAACACTGAGTCCTCATCTACTGCACAGGGAAATGCTCTTTCACCTGGAGTGCTCCCACTCCTCCTGAAACAGTTCATCCTGGCCCCAGGCACCTTTTCCAAAGCCTCAGCTTTTCTTCATACAAGATGGTGACTCAGGTGCAACTTCTGGGGAAAAGACCACCCCAGGAAGACTAACTCAAACACTCTGCAGTGCTCCCTCTCAGTCCTGTGGGTCTCCAACTACAGAATGAGGGTAGCAAGGAAACACTGGGCAGACAGCTGTAGAAGAGCAGTTAGGCAGACTGAATACAAACACCACCTGTGTGAATCTCCAGCCTCTTAGAGCAGGTGAACAAAATGTGTCTCTTCTATTTACCTATCTCCATGATCAATATCTGAGGGCCGAACATGAGACTTCAAACCACAATTCAAATACTACACGTCAGCCCCATTTGAAGCTGCTTCAGAGCCACAGTTCCATGACAGCCACGCTAGACAACTTACACGGGGATTATGTGCTAATATTTGGGTTTAATCCTGGATGAGCAGCTTCATTCTGAAGAAACACCACTATCTAGCCTGGCATAGTCAATTGTCACAATCATTGACAATTCTGTTCACTGATTAACAGTGGAGTCCTGCATTTAGATTCTTAATGGCCTATTTAGAAAGCCATATACCCTACTATGTGTCGGGTCAGGAAAGCCACCTCTTTACCCCAAAGCCTGTATGTAATGCTCTGTCACTGTATCTCAACACTGCTCTTTTCTTTTTATGAGATAGCACAAACTGTACATTAGACATGCTTCATTTTCACTAAGCATCATTTATTTTGAACTTTTCCTCACTTTGAAAGTTTATTCCATATCAAAGGGCAGCTATTTAGAAAAACAGCTACCACCTTTCTAGTGGTGCCACCTGCCAGATGTGACCTCACATAAATGAGCTGGAGAAGAGCAGTTACCTGGCTCACAATCATACAGCCAGGGCATGCAGTCAAAACAGGACCATGTGGCCTTAGCCCTGTGTTTTTTTACACCAATGCAACTGACAGAGTAGCAACACTCTTTACCCGAAATGTCTTGCTAACCCTCTGACCATCAGGGCAACCCTACCCACAGGTACAGTGGGTGTGGTACTCTTACTGGCTTTATCCTATAATCCAACACTCCTTCCTAAGGATAGATCACTGCTAACTGCAGACATGGATGTAATCAGTCATCACGCAACACACCAAAAATACCCACAACATACTTGAAGATGTCCTCACCAAACCAAATCCTACCACTGCACCAGTTAAATCCAATTTCTCAAACTAATGGAAAAGCACTTTTCGGATGCTGCCCTTATTGTACTTTACTGTTTGCTGAAATCCTTAATACAGTTCCTGCCCAGTAGTGACCAGCAAGAAGAAGATGCACTGAGCTACAGCCACAAGGGAAGGTCTGTGACTGTGGCTATATCAACACGAGTAGAGCTGTGGTTATGGAAGTGGGCATTCCTAATTACATTGGTCTTGGCAATCTTCACAAGGAGGTCCCATGGTCCAATCTGGAGGTCATTTCTTAAAGGAACTATGAAGAGGATGAGCTGGGGATAGGGACTCAAAAGCACACATCCTGAGGGCAGAATGATGGAAAACAGGCTTCTCCTCTTAAGAACCAGAATCCTTAAAAGTTCCTATTCATGGAGAAAAGCCTAACCAGTGGTCCATGTTGGAAACAGTTACTACTAAACACACAGGAAAGCTTTCTAAAAACTGGAATTTTAAGAAGAAAGAGAGGGGGGGGGGGAGAGAGAGAGAGAGTGGTTTATGAGAGAGAGAGAGAGAAACTGGTTTCTCAGAGAAAGAGAGAGCGAGAAAAACTGGCTTCTCAAAACACTCTCCCAGCCACATCACAGTTGAGGAACCAGTGGGGCCAGGGAAAACCCCACCACCTTAAAGGGATAGGCAGCCACAATTCCTGAGCCTTCATAGGCATCCAGCATCCCTCACTCTTGAATGACAGGCTACCAAGTGCATTTGCTTTACCCATTTCTTGCTGACAAGAACAAAGACAACCTCTGTAGGCACAAGAGTGGCAAGGGGCTGATATTCAGCTGACAAATTTGAAGAGAAGAACAAAGGAACCCAGCCCAGACAAGTTCTCCTTGTCACTACTTAAGACCTTTTCCTACTGCTCGGGCCAATTCTATTTTCTGAAAAGATTCAGAAAACTCGCTTCAGAACTACTTATGCAAGGACAGGTGGTGGGCCTCGAGTAAGCTGATCCCAACTAGCACAAGGCAGGGGAGGACAGGACCCACAGGACATAATGTGGGGCAGGGAAGAGGCTGGGGAGGGAACATCATGGGGAGGAAAGATGCTGGGGAGAGCCTCTGGGGAGGGGGCGCTGGGGAGGAGGCACTGAGGAGAAGATGCTGGAGAAAGGAAGACTCTGGGAGGGAAGACGCTGGGGAGGGAAGATCATGGGGAGGGGACACTAAGGAGGGAAGATTATGGGATCCTAGGGAGGGGATGCTAGGGAGGGAAGATTATGGGGAGGGGGCGCTGGGAGGGAAGATCATGGGGAGGGAAGCTTATGGGATCCTGGGGAGGGATGCTGGGGAGGCAAGATGCTGGGGAGACAAGATGCTGGGGAGGGGGCGCTGAGAGGGAAGATGCTGGGGAGGGAAGATCACGGGATCCTGGGGAGGAGATGCTGGGGAGGGAGCGCTGGGAGGGAAGATCATGGGGAGGGGGGGCTGGGAGGGAAGATCATGGGGAGGGAAGCTTATGGGATCCTGGGGAGGGGGCGCTGGGAGGCAAGATGCTGGGGAGGGGGCGCTGAGAGGGAAGATGCTGGGGAGGGAAGTCATAGGCTCCTGGGGAGGGATGCTGGGGAGGGAGCGTCGGGGAGAGGAGGCGCTGGCGGGGGGAGACTCCCGGGAGCGGCCAGGGCGCAAACGTTCCCCGGAGAAGGGGAGGGGCGCGGGGAGACCAGGAAGACGGCCGGCGCTCAGGAGATCGAGGAGAGCAGCGGGGCTGCAGGAGGCGGGACCGGGGCGGCGGCGGCGGCGGCGGCGGCGGCGGCGGAGGCTCTACCTCCGCGCTCGGCGGCCCGCGGGTCTGGGCCGCGACGGCAGCTGCTCGGGCGCGTCCCTGGCGTCCGCGGCCCGGACGCCGCTCCGACCTCGGCCGCCGTAAACATCCGCCGCCGCCTCTGCGCCTGCGCGCGCCGCGGCCACACTGCGCCTGCGCCGCGGGTTAAAGGGGCGACGGCGAGGGCGCTTAAAGTGGCTACGCGTCCGTGGAGGGGTTTGTTTTGCAGTGTAGCTGGCTGAGCCTCACCTTGGGTCTTTGCCCTCTCGTCCTAGTGACCACGAGGGCAGACGACACTGGGAGGGGTGTCGGCGGGAGAAGGGGCCTCTGTCCCGGGGCACGAGGGAGAAGCTGTAGAGCCGGAGCCGGAGCCCGGCGGCAGGGGCGGTGGGGCCGAGAGGGGACCGAGGTTGGCTCCAGGACATCGCCCCTGTGCAAGTGACTCGCAGGGACCGAGGCAGAAATGAGGAAACAGGGCGTCGGGGTGCGCCACGTGTGGTGCAGAACAGGAAGGACTAGTCGCTGCAGCAGGGCAGAGCTGAGCTGGGCTGGGGCCGCGCTTGGCCGCTGGGGTGGCCGCCTCCACACCTGAACCAGCTTTTGTGTGGGCCTCTGCGGAGGAACACGCTGCCTGAGCCTCGTTCAGAGCCACCTGTCCAGATTGCTTTCGATTTTGTCCTTCCAGTTCAAGTGACAAACAGGCCTGTTCCATGACCTCTCCTTCGCGCCAAACCCTTGGAGACTGTAGATTGAAGATGTAGCATCATGTGATGAAGGAGCCTAGATTCCCGAGTCAAGACGTGTAAGAGAGTCATTCAGTCTGCAATGAATTGTGATATGAATTAGGGGGAAAAAATGGTGATACAGTTTAACAAAGAAAAAGTTTATGTGGGAAGACAAAAGACCCAGAATAGTTAACACATTAATGATGGAAAAGAACAAAATTGGACAACTGCTGCTACTTGATTTCAAGACTTATTAGAAAGTTACAATAATCAAGACTGTACTATTGGGGGGACGGGGGAAGAAATGCCTAGATAAGTAGCACAGAATAGAAAGCCCTGAGATAGGCCCACACAAATGTTGTCAGTACTTCTTTGATAAAGGAACAAAAAATTCACTGGAGAAAGGGCAATCTTTTCAATAAAAGATGCTGGAACAGCTAAACATTAACAAACCAAAAAGGGCCAGGGGGACAATCTAGATACAGATGTCACTTTCCACATGAAACTTCTAGAAGATCATATAGGAGAGGATCTAAGTGATCTCGGGCCGAGTGATGACTCTTTAGATGTGTGAGTCCATGAGAAAAAAATTGGCAAGTTGAATGTCTTTAAAAATTCTGCTTTGTGGAAGAAACTGTTAAGAGAATAAAAGCCACAGTGTACGGAAAGAAAATATTCATCACTTATTTGATAAATGACTTTTAAAGAACTCTAAATTAAAAACAATAAGAAAACAATATAATTTTTAAATTTGCAAAAGCTCTAAACAGATGCTTCAAAAGAGTAAATATATAGATGGATGCTCAATATCATAAGTTAGGGAATTGCAAATTTATAAAACAATGAGGTACCAACACACATCTATTACAATGGCCAAAATCTGATACACTGACACCACCAAATGCTAAGGAGGACAAGGAGCAACAGCAGTTTCCATTGCTGGAGGTAATGCCAGATTTTCAATAAAGCCACTTAAATAGACAATATGGCAGTCTTACCATAAGGTCCAGTATTTGTGCCCACAAATAAAATGACTGTTATGCATACACAACAACCCACACGTAGATATATCTATGACAGCTTCATAACTTGGAAGTAGTTAACACAGTCTTCAAAGGGTCAATGATAAACAACTGTGGTATATCCATAAACTAGAGTATTAACCAGTGATAAAAAGAATGAACTATAGAACCTTGAAAACACATGGATAAAGTTTAAATGGTCATTGCTAAGTGAAAGAAAACAGCATGAAAAGACAACAGGCATTCTGTGGAATTCCAATGATGTGACATTCTGAATAAGTAGAATGGTCAGTGATTACCAGGAACCAGGGCAGAGAGAATGAACAGGTGGAGCATGGAAGATTTTTAGGACAGTGAAAGAATTCTGTATTATCCATGTAATAATAGATGCCTGTCATTATACACCTGTCAAAATTCACAGCAAGCTCAACACCAGGAGGCACCCCTAATATAAACTGCAGACTTTAGTTAATAGTAATGTATTGGTATTTCAGTTGTAACAATGTGTAACACCAATGCAAGATGTTAACAAGAGAAGCTATGGGCAGAAGAGAGAGAGAATCTCTACTACCTGCTTGTTTTTGTAAATCTAAAACTGTTCTCAAAAATAAAGTTTATTGTAAAATGTGATGGTACATGCCTATGATCCCAGCAGCTCGGGAGGCTGAAACAGGAGGATTGCAAGTTCAAAAAGCCAGCCTTAGCAACTTAGTCAGGCTTTGTCTCAAAATCTTAAAAAATAAACATAAAAAAGGACTGGAGATGAGGCTCAGTGGTTAAGTGGTCCTGGGTTCAATTCCTAGTACCAAAAATAAATAAGTAAAATAAAGTTTATTATTTTTTAAAAGCTAAAGTTTTTTTTTTTTCCAGACACCCAAAATACTGAGAGAATTTAGCAACAGAAAGGTACAACATGAAATGTTAAAGAGTTTTTTTTTTTTGGCAGAAAGCCAATGGAACCTGGAGGAAATATAGATCATTCCATTGCGCAAAAGAATGAAGTATGGGTAAATATGTAAGATTGCTTTCTTAGTGCACCTCAGTCCTGAGGACTCCACTTCTTTATTCACCTCTGTGTGCTGGTGGTTTTATGATGGGCAAGCGTTACTTCTGCAGCTACAATAATGCCAAAATGTTTGTTATCCTCTGAGAGTCATAGACTGCACCTGTTCTTAAGGAGGAGCTCCCAATCCAGACAAAAAGCAGCAGCTGCCATGCTCTTGTCTGCTTAGGACCTGATGGTCAAGGGAGGCCACGTCAGGACTGACTGCAGGAAGGGAGAATAAAAAGCCCCACAAATGATGTGCCAGCAGCTTTCCCCCAAAGTCCTCCTTACTCCCTTCTGCAGGGAAGTAGTGCCACCCAAGGACAGGTGTCCCTGGGCCAGCCACTCCGTAGCCTCAGCCTCTTCCCTGCCCCACTCTTCTGACATCTCCTCTTGGTGCTTTTTGCTTGAGGTCTCAAGTGTTCTTGTCCTCTGAAATACTTGCCCACAGACATCAAACAGTGCTGTTTTGCCAGTGCCTCAGAGTATGGGGGCAGTAGAATCCTAAGGAAGGGCTTAGAACTGGGCAAGGCTGAGGCCACAGGAATGACAAGATGCAGAATTTGCCACAAGGTGTCACCACGGCCTAGTTACTGTGTTGGGAGGAGGAGACAAATGAGGTCATTTTAAAAGGAAGAAAGTAGTTCTTCCCCCATTTTAATCCTTTTGTGGCCAGAGAATGAAATTAACAGTCTTCAGACAGGCGTCAAGGCTTCTCTGCTACACATGCCACAGTTACAACAAGCAGTGCTGATGGGAAAAATACCAGTGGACTCAGCATGTTCACATGCAGAATGGTTGGGAAGGAGCTCTTAATATTTTCTCATCTTGAACCACTTTAATAGAAAGCAATACACAGACCCTGGAAAGAGCTCTGCGAGGACCAATTTTTTTTTTTTTTTGAATGGGGGGATACTGGGGATTGAATTCAGGGACACTCAACAGCTAAGCCACATCCTCAGCTCTATTTTTTTGTATTTTATTTAGAGACAAGGTCTCACTGAGTTGCTTAGTGCCTCGCTTTTTGCTGAGGCTGGCTTTGAACTTGCAGGCCTCTTGTCTCAGCCTCCCAAATTGCTCGGATTACAGGCATGTGCCACCACACCTGGCTTACAAAGACCAATTTTAAGCCACATGTCTATCTCTGATGACCCTGTTGGTACACAGTCCTTACAAAGAAGTAGTATCAGGCTGGGTCATAGTTCAGTGGTAGAGTGCGTGCCTAGAGTGTGTGAGGCCTTGGGTTCCATCCCCAACACTGCAAAATAAAAAAGAAAGAAAAGAAAGCAATGGTGTCAGACCAGGCTCAAGGCTGTCCACAGGACTCTGTAGTGGAGATGCCTTGAGGAGGGGTGTGTCTTGAGAGGTAGGAACCAGGGCCTCAGTGGCACTGCTGCCCCAGTGGGGTCCCTCCCCCTCCCCCTGCACCAGCCCTTCTTCCACTGCCCACTCTGCACTGTCTCTTGTGAATTCTAAGAGGGAAGTTCAAGAGGAGGTAACCTTGGAGATGTAGAGCCATGCCAGAAACCACTGCCTACAGCTGGAGGTGGACCTGACCTCAGTGGGAGAGGACAGCCACAACAGACAGATCCACTCCCTGGGCTCCAGGCAGGTGGCACCAGACTTGTGTGTGCAGGAAGGCTGAGGGTGGCAGCTGTGGTCAGAGTGGACCTCAGATGAGAGCTGCTGATTAGCTGATGAGAGGTACAGAAAAGAGGAAACAGATCTGAGGGCATCCTCTGAGGGTCAGAGGTGGTGAGTGACCTGGGCCACTGGTCTTATGTGATTGGGAGAGGCACCCAGCTGCCAGCTCCAAGTTGACTCCTCCCAGGCAGCCCAGGGCCAGGAGCTGAGTGGAGAGACACATTATGGAGGCCCACTCCTTGTCCTGTCCACCCAGACATCCCCAGACTCAAGGCTGGCCCTGGACCACCCCTCCCCCTCCCTCGTCCATTCACTCTACACCATGTGTGTCCACTGCCAGGGCAGATCCGGCTCTGGATGCTGGGGCCCAGGATTAGTGTGATGAGACTCTGGTCTCAGGAATCTTGGGCTAACAAAAAGCCAGAAGCAAGTCAACAAAACCACCTGCTGCCCACTCTCCAGTATTTCACATCTCACAGAATGTCAGGTAGCAACCAAGCCCCACTCACCCCTCACTCCTCCACTCTGCCCTGGTCCCTGGTCAGCCCCACAGGTTCTGCAGCCTCCTCCTTCACATCAGCTTCCTTGCCCCTGCCTTGACACCAGGAGGGCTGGCCCTTGCTTCCCTCAGGTCCAGAGAATTCCCTGACAACCCTCGTGCCCATTTCCCCTCCCTGCTCTCTGGTAGCTCTTCTCACCAAATACAACATTCTCCAGATGAGCCAGAGAATCTGCCTCCACTTCAAGGCATCTTCCATGTCTCCAGCCAGCTCCACTTGCCCTGAGGAATATTCAGGGCAACCCAGCAGGCAGTGACATCAATTGCTCTTTCCTCCAGGCACCCGAATGGTGCCCAGATACTTACCGGTTCTCCTCAGGCAGGGGCAAGCCAGGCATGAGCTCTGGAGCTCTCCACTGCACCTGGGCTCTCCCGCTGGCATGGGGACTATGGCAGCTCCTTCTTCTCTGGCCCATCAGACATCCCCCCCATTAATGCCCATGGGGATGCAACTGGCCTAGAACTCTTCCTCCTGCAGAGACAGGCCCTGGGGGCATCATCATGCAGCACCTGGGGCCAGCAGGCAAATCCTGGTTGCATAGCCAACACTCTGTGTGACCTGGAGCAGCTTATTGGGTCTCTGGGCCTCCGTTTTCCTATCTGTATAATGGGAACAGTCATACTGCCTGCATCGTGTGTGGCTGAGGGGTAGAAGGAGGCTGTACATTTTTAAAAGGCTCAGAATCAGTCTGGCCTTGTTTCTATCCTGTACCTGATCAAAAGTGGAGCAGGTTAGGGCTTCTGTGTGTGGCAGGGGAGCTGGAGCAGCTATTACTGAGTCCCTCTAGGTTTGAGTCTCAGATTATCATCCTATGGTCAAGGGTCCCCAGCAGTGGTCCTGGGGATCATGGGTGGAACTGGTGAGCACCCTTAGTCTTCACAGCTCTGCAGGCAAGTCTCAGATGGGCTCCATGTGTTTTTAGTACTAGGCACCACCAGATTTGTCTTCTGCTATTTTGACAACCTCTACAGAGAGAGCTATGACAGAATTAAAGACAAGGAAAATACTTTGACAGGTTGTGAAAGAAACAGATAAAAGTATGCTTAATTTAGCAGAGAGTTCCCCTGAAGCAGAGATGAGGGGACAAGACACATCAATTACAGGACATGCCCCCAGCAACCTACTTCCTCCAACTAGCCCCTCCTGCTAATAATTCATTCAACTATAAACTTATCAGTTGACTAATAATCCACTAATGAGATTGGAGTCCTCATGATCCAACCACCTCCCTAAGCACCCCCTCAATCTGAACACTGCTGTACTGGGATACCAAGCTTTCAGCACATGAGCCTTTGGGGGACATTCTAAATACCATAACATCTCTTCTCTTACCTGATTTCTGCACCATACAGCCATCCCTGAGTGTTCCTCAGGGCCTGCCCCAACCCTCAGTCTGACCTTCTTTAACCCTCCCTGGGACTGATACCTGCTGTGCCGAGAACTCCACGCCATCCCCAAGCCTACCTTTCCCAACTCTGTGCTCCAGTGACCACAACAGCCACTGGGTATTCTCAGCATGGCCCCCCCTGGGCCAAGCAAGGCACCAACTCCATCAGCTCCCAGTCCTCACCCAGCTGAAGGCCATATGGCCACACAAGAGCTGCCAAGAAGGAGAGCACCTTTATCTGAAAGATGTTAAGGATTTGGGACCCCAAACCTAGACTCCAGTACCTCCCTAATCCTGGAGTTGGGAGAGCAGAGTTTAGAAAACCTAAAGTTCATATAGGGTCAAAGTGGCCTCCTTGAGTTTCTTTAAGGATCAAGGGTCCTATACTCAGTGTTCCTTGTACACTGCATTCCCTCTCCAGGAATTTCCTCTATTCCACATCAATAGCCACATCCAAAACATCATTTCCCTCAGAGATCTTCAGAGACCCCCCTCGGGGAAGGCTGTAGGAAACCCTGCATGCCTACTGCAGTCTATGGCACCCACCTGCTGAGGGGATCCCATCATGACCAACTTTGGGCCTGGCCAGCTACTGTGGGCAGACCTATATTCTTCCCAACAGGAGCCCTTGCTAGGGTCAGGCCAGGACCCAGTTTGTAACCCATCCATGACTGGTCAGTCCCCTCTTATGAACAGAGATATCCGCTGGGATGTGGCCCCTGCACTCTGTCCCCACTTCCAAAGCTCTCCATGGCCACTACCCATGCACCCACCTGAGGCAGTGATGCCAACCTCCAGGACCTCTTTCCCACCCATGTTGTGCACGGTCTCCAGGAATTCCACAGAGATCAGGGGCAGATGAGCCTGTTGTCAGACGCTGAGCTCACTGATGATGAGCTGGCCAACTGTTCTCACATCCATCAGAGGGTCTCAACCTTGCTGCTCTTTGGAATTGTCTGGAAGGCTTTACAACACGTTTTACGTCTGTGCTGAGTGTCGTTTGGAAGAGGCTCTGGTCTGAGGGGCATTTCCCCTGACCCGCAGTGTTGAAGAGCAAGGACCAAGGCAAGGCCTGCAGACCTTCAAAAGTGAAAGGAGTGGAGACCACATGCTGGGTGGGGAGGGGGCCGCCAGCCCCACTGGCTCTGCTCCTCGCCTCCACCAGGTACAACAAGGGGTCCCGAATACCCCCACCACTCCCTACCCTAGCAAGGGGCAGCATGGCCCCCACCTCTGGCCAACTCTGATTGGCTTTAGAATGACCACCTTAGACTGAAGCAGGACACTTCTGAATTGGCCTTGCCCACTCCTGGCCCATACCCAACATCTGCTGCACTGCCACGAAGTGATAGAACCCCAGCCACTGTCCCTGCCCCCAGAGGGACAGCAGCAAAGGGATACCCAGGAGGTCTTCCTTATGGCCGTGCAGGTTCTACATGTCCCATTAGTGTACTGGCACCTACTCTGGACCCTCTGGACACAGCAGTTGCCCTCCAGGTGTCTTGGTTCCTGTACAAATAAATGCAGCAAGAAAGCAGCCTGGAGTTTCTGAGAATTGTCAGTGAAGGAGGGTCCTTTGCGTAGAAGAGCTCTGGGCCTGCATCCAGGGCCAGATTCCCAGGAAATCAAAAGCACATTGACAGTCTGACATTTCAATCCAGGCTGAAAGTGACTAGAAGCCTCAAATCTAAATCTCATCAGGGGAGGCCAGAGCTCCACCTGACACAGTGTAACAATGAAGAGCTTCCACTACAAGGCCAAAAAGCCAAAGCACGTTAGCTTAAGGGGAAAAGTGTGAAGGAATCCGTTGCCTCATATAGCTGGCAAGGTGGCTCTCTTCAGTTATGGCTAGACGCAGGCACTCTGAGGAATTCATCAGAGAGCGTCTCTTCTTCTCCCACCTCATCTCCCAGCTCTGCCTTCTGCCAGAACATCTGAATTCACTCCTGCTTGTGGCTGCAAGGAAGGAATGGCAACACCAATTCCATAACCTCAGTCTAAAACCCCACAGGGACATGTTTCCCCCACACACACCCTAAGAGGAAACCCCTGGGAAGAACTCAGATTTGTATTTGCATGGTCACATAAGGAGGGACAAGGCACAGTGACTTAGACCTTCTGTGACCACACCTGGGAAAAGGCAGCTCTAGCAGACACTGGCTGAGCTGGTGGGGGCGGGGCCCAGGTTGCTTTGTCCAGGAGACCAGAGATGGAAGCACCCGCCCATCCTGACCACCCACAGCACCCCAGGAGGTAAAGCCAGGGCACCCCACAGACCATGGCACCACGCACAGTCAGACTTTTATTAGGAAATCACCCTCCAGGCGCACCATGGAGTACTGTGGGTCTAACATGTTTCCTGAGGAAGGAGGGTCACAGTACCAGAGCAGTCAGGGGCCCGGCAGCTGGCCCGAGAGTCCCAGCCACCATGGGGCCTGACTGCAACCAGTACTCCTCCACAGCAACATGACTCAGCCGTAAGAACTGCCACAAACGCAACACGAGACATACGCCAGGGCACACACGTCTGCGCTACTTAAATAATGATAAATACAGAATCCCACTTGCCGCCGTCGTGCCTGAACGAAGGGACCCAAAAGGAAAACGGAAACCAAAGCATGTCTCTCTCCACTGGGCCAAAAGGAGGAAATCCCCAAACTATCAAAATTCCTCAGTTACAAAATACTTCTTAAAAATTCCATATTAAAAGAATAAATAACAAAATATATAAAAAATAACTTGGTTGCATCAAAATTATGACTAGGAGTTGTATCCTGGTTTTCGTGGCCTATCTTATAGTCAAGTAGCCACTTTTGCTTTGATTTCGCTTATTCCACTCTTCGGGTGCCTTAGTGCAGGGTCTAGTTGAAAATATTACAAAATTAATAAATAAAATGTTAAATAAATAGCAAACATTAACATAAGAAGATGTGAATATAAATACTTACATCTGGACAAAATTAAATGATTTACAGAATAAGCTAACTACCTCCAACGTCTTCCAGGAGCTGCAGCTTCTCTACTTTAAATACTAATTCAGAATTGCCGTCACAAGGGACTTGGCTCTATTTACACAGTCGGAACATTGTGTTCTTAACACATTAAATTAAAATTCACCTTTTTTCACATCTTGAATGGATCTAAAAAGAAGTGAGACCTTGGTGGTCTCCCACTAGGAATTCACCCCTGACCTCACAGACACTGTCCCCACCTTGGCCACCTCACATAGAGATCAAGGCCAGCCAGCCATGACCAGATGATGTGGCAGTGATAAGCCAGGGGCCTGGGTGGAGGTGCAGAAGCCGGGGACTGCTTTCCAGGGGCCTCCCAGCTTGAACCCCATGAGCTGACTGGGCTGCTATGCTGTCTACTGTCTGGATTTTCATCTGGAAGGCCTACTCCTAACTTTACCTCTGGCACAGAGTTCTGCTCCACCCTTAACACAAAGCTGAACTAAATGAAAACAGAAAACACACTTGCCACAAGGGCCCTCACAGAGAACAGACACACAGCTCCAGCCATGTCCTCTGGGCTGAGACACTGGCCCACGGAGCCCACACTACCCTCCCAGTCTCTACAGACAAAGAATACTGTGGTTGCAAACTCCAAAACTTCCCTGAGAACCTTGTCCATGAGCTTCCACTGGAGTCTTTGAGCTGCTCTTCAGATTTCTTTCAGAAAACAAAAATAAATCACTTTGTAACTCTCCAGCTTCCCCAGGCACTTGCATGGGGAGGCCTCGGCCCCAGAGACAGGATTTCCAGGCACCCCTTTGGATGAACCCGCCCAAGGCTGCACCCAGGCTGCCAACGAGAAGTCACTGCGAGTTGGGGACCCCACTGCGAGGGGCAGGGTAAGGGAGGTAAACACAGGAGCCAGGGCGGGGTGCTCCTCCAAGCATCACGGCCTAGACCTGGATGCCCCTCACGGCCTGCTTGATGCTCTCCAGGAGGCCCTTGTTCTCAGGATTCTGGTAGCAGTCCTGATTGGAGTACATGTCGGTGAGGGTGCTCACATAGGCGTCAAAATTCTGTTCACATATTGGCTCCTAGAGAACAGAACTAGGTTAGCAAGTCCATCTACACAGTGGGCCCCATGTAGCAGCAACCAGTCCCAAATGACCAGAGGCAACGCTGGTGGCTACCCCATCCTAGAAAGCCCACCAGGGTTTCTGTTTGCAGCGACCCCAGTGACAAGACCCTCTGCCACAGACCCTCCTGCCCCAGATTCACAGGCTGCTCAGGAAAGTAAGAACTCTGCAGCTGACAACTGGTCCCGGTGGGCCCCAAGAGCAGGGCCCAGAAGCAGAGGGGTGAGGGGCCAGCCGCCCTCCCCTGAAGGCCCAGGCAGTGAAGCAGAGTTGCATACCAGGTGGGGAAGGCGAATGTTGGCGAGACTTTGGATGAGAGCCTGGCTCAGGCCGGACAGCTCCAGAAACAGGGCTTCATTCTGCTCCTCGATGAGCTTGTTCTCCTCCTCAATGCTCTTCAAGTTCTTCTCCATGGAGGAGATCTGAGGACGAGCCCAGGGGTGGGGGAGAAGTAGGCACCTGCTTCCCCATGGGGCCCCACCTCTAGGGAATCGCTGGCCCCTGCCCCTGGGCACAAGAGGCAGAGCCCTCCGTAAACAGCCTGTGCTCAGGGAGGTCAGGCATTGATGTGGGGCTGTGTGTGGCCAGGAGCTGTGTGTGGCCATGGCTCTGTGCTAAGGATGGGCAAGGGCACAGGACACAAGCACCCTGTGCTCATCTCAGCCACCCCAGCCAGGTGTCTCACTTCACCAAGCTCCCAGTCCTGTCTCTAAGTTGTGAATGCCTGCACCCACCCCATGGGTATCAGGATGCCTCTGGGCATTCCCCTCACCAAAAGACCAACCAACTGCCTCCACAGGTCTCCCAAGCAAGTCTTCTGCAGGTCAAGCACAGGGTGGCCCCCTTCCTTGCTTGCTATACCTCAGCCATGAGCCTGCACAGGGCCCCCAGGTCTCTGATATCAAGGGACAGCCCAAGCCTGTCTGGATATCTCCATGGAGCCCCAGAGCAGAGGCTTAGCTCACGTGAGGATCATCTTAAGCAGGGATAGGAAGGTCCCTGTGGGAGACTGCAGGTGGGACCCAGCGAGTCCTATCACCTGGTGACAAGTGTGGCTTTAAAGGACTCGGGAAGGGGGAAGGTGCCTTTCCTTTGCATTCTACCGTGAGCACAATCCACCAAATTCCTTCAAAGGGATGGCAAACACCTTCCAAAATAAGGCTAGTAAAATGTAACAACTTGTCTTTGAAACAAACAGGTTTGTTTTGTTTTTATATGGGGTCTCACTGTGTTGCCCAAGCTGGTCTCAAACTGGTAGACTCATGAGATCCTCCCACCTCAGCCTCCTGAGTAGCTGGGACAACAGGCAGGAACTACTATAGGTCTGGCTCTAAAAGGCAGGTTTTGCCCTCTAGAAAGAAGTATGGAGAGTCCTAGAAATACTGTGGATGGAACTACCACAAGACCCAGCTATCCCACTCCTTGGTGTTTTCCCAAAAGATCTAAAATTTGCATACTACAGCAATACAGCCACATCAATGTTTGTAATAGCACAATTCACAATAGCTAAATCATAGAATCAAGCCAGATGCATATCGACAGATGGATGGATTAAGGAATTGTGGAATATGTATACGGTGGAGTTCTACTTGCCATTAAAAAAAGGATGTGATCATAGCATTTTCCAGTAAAGGGATGGAAATGGAGAATAGCATGCTAAGTGAAATTAGCCCAACTCAGAAACTCAAAGGTAGAACATTTTCTCTCATATGTGGAAGCTAGAGCAAAATAAAGGGGAGGAAAGGATAGGATAACATAAAGAAGCAATCAATTACAAATTAACAGACAAGCAAAAGGAAATCTAGTAGAGGAAGGAGAATGGGAGAGAGGAGGGGGGCAGCAGGGAAAAAGAGGCAGAAATCAACTTTCATGAATGTTTGAGTTTCTCAAAATGAACCCAACTACTAAGTATAACTCTAAAAAGAAAAGAAAAGATGGGCTTGACAAATAATGAGAAATAAGAGTTACTGCCCCAAGGACACTGCCACTAGGGGACAGGAAAGGCCCAGCCAGGGGCCCTGTCACCCCATTGTCACTGCCTATGAACTGGAGGGCTCAGCATTGACAGGGGCAGGACACAGTGAAAACCCTTTCTGAGCTCCATGGCTGATGCTGTTTTCATTCGGGCTGCAGAGCCAGCAGAGAAATGAGCTGAACAACAAGACACCTGGGGCTGGGCCATGTCAGACAGGGGCTGCCTGCGAGAAGGGGCCTTGCCATCTTCCCATCTTCTCATTATTCCTTCTGCCTTGAAGGAGTTCCTCCTACATTCCCTGTAGGGGAATGGTCACCTTCTTGTCCCTTTGTACCCCCAGCTACTATGGGACACTCCTCCCATGCCACCAGCTCTGCTGTGACCCAATCAGCAGCCCAAGGGTGAGGTATGTTCTTGTTTTCAAAATAAGGCCTTCACTGCTTTCTTCCAAGTACAAGTGCTCACTAGGGGAAACCCTGTAAGCGATGCATGACTCAGCCAATAGCACTCAGCAACCGCTGGGCTCAGAGGCATGTGTGCTCTGCTCAGGCAAAGCCCTCCTCAGAGCAGTGAATCCTTGAACAACAACCCAACAGAGCAGGACCCACTCTGAACCCCATCCCACTGAGAAAGAAACAGGAACAAAAAGGTGGAGGTGTAGAGGCCAGTCTATCAACGGGTGGCTGTGCTAGGGAGTCTGGCTTCAGTTCAGGCCAAGCACCATGCTCAAGGGCTGCCAGTACTAATGAGACCAGAAACTCCAACAGGGCAAATATTCCTCATAATGTACTAATGCTGAAGGACCACTCACACCCTGAGACTGATCCGGTAGGATGACTAGCACCAATGGGACCCAAGGCCCCAGGAGTGAAACAGTACCAGCACTGCCAGGTAGTGGGTGGGCAGCCAGCCAGCCCACACTAAGTGTCTCTGCATGCCAGGCACCGGGCTCTCAACCAGCTCAGCTCAGACAGCATTGATGGACACTATGTCATCTCCAGGATGAACTGTGGAAGGGCAGAGACAGGCAGGAGCAACAGCACCCACCTGGGACTGTAGCTGTACCATGGCAGCTTCCATCTCCGAGTTGGACTCGTTCAGGTCTCGGATCTCCTGGTTCAGCTGCTTGATCTCCTCGTCATTCTCCAGCACTATCCCAAAAAGAAACCTCAAATGTAGCCTGACCTCAGGCCCAGACGACAAGTAGGGTGCAAGGGGCCTGCTTTCTTGGTGGAGCAGAGGTCCCCACTTGGCCCTTAAGCTCATCTCTCTTGGGCTGGGATCCCACATTTCCCTCTTGGAAACCTGTCTTGGCAATGAGATGACAGTTGTTTTGCCTACTGGCCTGGGCCCTGGTGGGAAGGCCTGAGTCTATTTGCAGGTTCTAACCACTGAGACAAAAGGGGAGGTGTATTCAGAAATGAGTCTCTTTCCACATCCACAACCCCATGGACATAGCTTCTGGTGCTGAAGAGGGCTCTCTGATGCCAGTGATCACCAAAGCCCCAGGTCAGAGCAGGCATGACCACTCAAATGAAGGCCAAGGGAATCCAGACATGGGCATTGAGAACTTGAGAAGCATTGGCAGGCGTGGCAGCTCAGGACAGGGCTGTGTCTACCATGACTCATTCCTGGAGAGGTTGGCCTCCCTACTCCCTCCCCAGGGATAGCTCCAAAGGGCATCCTTACCATCACTGGTCTTGAATTTGGGGCTGAGAACCTCGTCCCCTGAGAGTTTTCCCTTCTTTCCAGCAAAGGTTGCTCTGGGACAGCCAGACAAACTAGAAGCAGATGTCATTCATTACTGACCATCCCAGGGTCACACACCAAGAAATAGACCAGCCCCGGGACACAATTCTTGAGTCAATCCAGAGTCATACATACACTGTGAATGGTCTAAGACAAGCTCCATCTCACTCAGATGACCCTGAGGTCCTCTCTTTGGCAGAACTGCCCCGCATCAGCTTCCTGCCCTCCTGGGGAGTAAGAGGTAACAGTCCAGGCAAGGCGGGGGCCAGGATGTACCTTCTCTGAGTACAGCCTATCTGGCACAGTAACAGCTGACCCCATGAGTAGTGTGACTCGGGGCATAACTGCTCCCAGGCACTGCTTCCTCTGGGGCCTGAGGGCCTCAAGACCTACTTGCTGGCACCTTTCAGGTCTGACTTCCCAGAGGAACCCTTGCAGCTGACTCTACCCAAAACAGCCTCCAAGGTGTGGTTCCATGACACTGACGACTTCTTGGACAGAGATGTTCACACAGAGATACATAAGAATGGTGGGTCATCAGGCCTGATTTCAGGTTCACGCAGTGACCCATCTACAACAGGGACGTAGGCTGTTTGTGTTGGAAAACAGATCCTTTACTTATGCCTGCAAATGCCCAGTGAGCAGTGCAAAGCAGGATGGAGCTTGGCAGCTGTCTTAATTTTTCATCTATCTCCTTTATTACCTTAAACTTTGGTCTGGATTCCTGCTCAGTTCTACACCTAGCATGTTAATCTGAGTGCTCGTCGAAAAACTGGTAACTTAAGGTTGATTAGCCCTAATTTATTTAACCCATTACTCTCATCCCCCTTCAAGACTGAGGACCCCAAGATAATAAGAATAACTAAGGTATCTAAAATAGATTGTCAATGACCAGCTTTTTTTTTTTTTTTGGTACAAAGGATTGAACTCAGGGGCACTTTAACCACTGAGCCACATCCCCAGGCCTTTGCCCTTTTTATACTTTATTTAGAGATGGGGTCTCACTAAGTTGCTTAGGGCCTCACTAGGTTGCTAAGGCTGGCTTTGAACTTGTGATCCTCCTGCCTCAGCCTCCAGAGCCCCTGAGATTACAGGCCTGTGCCATGTTGTTTGGCTCAGCTTTTTTTTTTTTTTTTTTTAACATTCTGCTTTTTACCAAGCAGAAGTTTGCAGTCAGATTGCCCTATGATGCGACTGCCCCCCCTAAGCAGGGTCAGTCATCTCACAATAGGAGTCAAATTGCCCCTCAAGAATGAGGCTTCCCCAGAGCTGAAGCTGTCCAGAACCAGATCACAGCTTGATGGAGACTGCTTAATCATTCACATCTTTAACTCCTGGCCCAGTTCTTCCTGTTCACCCTGAAGTTCATGTCAGTGTCCCTGAAGGCAGGTCTCATTCTTTGCAACACGACTACACTGACTCGACTCGTTTCCTACTTCTCACCATGACTTTTGTTTGTTTTCTTCCAGATGAGTAGCTAGACCTACTCTGTTAGGACTCCAGAGTTGGCTCTCTGGCCTAGGAGTCCAATAACCATCCACATCAAGAGTGAAGGCTGAGGAAGTGCTCAGGAACCCCTCTGTACACCAGCCCAGCAGCCTCTTCTGGGGCCTTCTTGGACTCTCCCTTGTGGCCTGTGGCCCGAGTGAGACCTGATCTCTGCTCTGCCCCTAACCAGGTCACCTCACTCACAGAGGCAGTCTGCAGAGATCCTAGCTTAGGACTTTCTGTCTCTTCTTCACCCGACTCCGACCTGGTCCAACAGACGGGTCCTCCCCAGCTCCAGCCATGCCAAGGGTGTGTCCTTTAGTCAGCTGGAGTGAGTTCCTGGACCCCTCTCAGAGACCTCTTTCCCACCTTCTCTGATGTTTTCCCCAGAGCCCTGACTACCACGCTTCATCCGAGGTAACTTACTCCTCTGTCTACTCCGTCTGTTTCCCCACTCACCCTGCCCAAAACTCTGAAAGGGAAAGAGCTGGCTGTCCTTCAGCCTCTGCTCTATCACCAGGCCTTGGAGCAAGACGGGCTCTTAGTAAATGCTTTTGTTGGATGAATACATTAATCAACCTTGCAGAAGGAGGAAGGAAGGAAGGAGAGAAGGAAGGGAAGTGGAGGGGAGAAGAAGGAAGTGGAAGGGCAGGGAAAGGGACTTGTAACAGGACTAGTCACTGACCCTACGCTCCCCAACCACCACTGTGACACCAGCACAAACAGGAAGGAAAGACGATGGAGCAAGGCCCCGTCCCTCAGGTAGGTGAGAACAAGAGCACTACCCAGGCCCACGGCCAGGCAAGAAGGGGTCTAGTCACCCGATCCCGGAAAAGCAGCGTCTCTGCCCAAAGTTCAGATAAGGGGCCCCAGTGAAAGGGGCAGGATAGAAGACATTTTTTCTTGAAAGTTGACAGCCTAAAAGAAAATTTTCTCAGACATGGACTGTCTAAGTGTGACTCCAGCCTAGAGAGCCTCCCTCGGGGCCTGGAGAGCAGCCACCAGAGCAGACACAAGTGGAAAGCAACATAAACGCCATCGGCACCAACAGAGCCCTTGTGGGTTTCCCCTGGGCAGCTGCCCATATGGCCTCGCTTCTTCCTCAGGGAGCTACTGGCCACACTGAGCCTTTCTCCCTCCCCCCAGGAGCCTTGTCCCGGCCCAACACCAGAGTTCCTGATTGCTGACATAGAGGCAGAGTGTGTGGGACAGTTACCTCCGGTGGGTGAGGAAGCTCCCGTTGGCATGGCCAGAGCCATCACAGCCTGGGGTGGGGCAAGTTGGCCCCTCGTTCTTCAGCGCCTTCCAGGAGAAGGACGAGCCGTTGAGGGAGCCCTCTTTCTGCCTCCGGGCGGCCAGAGGGCAGCCAGATGCACTTCTGTGAGAGGCATATTTGCCACTGATGTGGCCAAGCCCCACACAGCCTGGAACCGGGCACCTGGACATAAAAAGGCTGAGGTGACCACAGAGGCACTGGTGTCGGGGGAACTTGGAGACCCACCAGCTCCTAAGTGAGGCAGGAGGACAGCAGAGTCCTGGAGCCTAGAGAAGAGCCTGGCCTTCCAGGTAAGAATCGAAGGCCACATGGCCTGCCTTCCCTCTCTCTCTCGGCCTCAGAGCCCCTGCTTGGCTGCAAATCAGGAGGACAGCCAGGGGTAGCAGGGGCCTGCCATCACTGAGGCCAGGCATGGCATCCATGGTTGTCCCGGAAACACAAGCTCAGATATCCCATAATCGTCTTGCCTGTGGCTGCCCAAGAGTGGCTTTTCCTTTGCTCCAGATGTTCAAGGAGAGGAGCAGAACCCTTTACGTAAATTACATAAGTACAGAATGAAAAATGCCCCAGGCACAACATGTGGGACCCTGTCTGAGTGTCTGTCCTCACACCTCAGGGAGGGATGTGGACCAGGGAGATTTAGGGGCCCAGTCACCCAGAAACCAACACCCGACCCAGACCAGATTCTCAACCTGACAGTTCTCTGTTTTCTCCCACCAACAAAGTTCATCCTGATGGTCTGTCACACACTCACAGTGTGTGAGAATGCCTGAAAAGGGGTACAGGACCCAAGAGGCATCACTGCCCTGTTTTATAGTGGTCTTGGGGCACAGAGAAGTCAGGAGGCAGGACACCCTCAGGAGGACAGAGGGCTATCAGCAGAGGCTCCTGTTGTGGGAGCGGGGAGGGCACTGCACAGGGCAACATTGCCCAGTAGGAGCTCACTGCCTCCCAGTGCTAGTAGGGAGGGCAGTTCCAGGGCCTTGTCCCACACTTGTGGCCTCATCTCAAAGGCCACCCATGCAGACAACTTCCCAGCCATCTTTTCTAGGGTTCTTCTTCCTCTTCTGTCCACATTGCCCATCTCTTGCCTCTCCTCCCCTTCTCACTCATCTGGCCGCCCAGCGTAAGACAATGTAGGATGTCCACTGGGCCGGTGAAAGGACATCTCAGCTTCTAGTCTAGAGCAGGGACTCCGCCCAGGGCTCCCAGGAGGGCTTTGGTGGGGGTTCACATTTAATGTTCAGCCCCTCGAACCTGGATGCCTCCCAGCCATAGGGCCTGAGGATGCCTGGCCTGGCATGGCCAAGACTGAGGTTGAGGGCTTGGGCCAAGAGGAGGCAACTGACAAGTACCTAGCCTCACAAGATCCAGGGACCAAATGAAGGTGTGTTTCAGTTGCTCCATGCAGTTCAGTCTGGATTCTTTCTAACCACTTTGTTGCAAAACTCTAACTCTCCCTAGAATGGCATTCATGAGGGTTATTTCAGGCATGATTTCTTTCTCTTAAAACCTGGTATCAAATCTTCAGAGACGTCACGTGACTTTGTGTAGAGAAATACGTGGGGCACTGAGCCAGAGGGTTTCCATGCTTCTCAGGTGAGTTGGTTTCTTGGAGTAGATGGTGGGACCCAGAAACTGCATGTGGTTTGACATGAGAAATGGAGCCAAGACAGCAGGGACCAGAGGAACATTTCACAAGTCAGATGCAGTGTGGCTGGTGGCACAGACCTCCTCCAGGTGGGCAGAGAGAGCAGGTCCTGACCCCCACACCGGAACAGCTGTCAACTTCTTGACCAGTTATAAAGTGGTGGCAACCGGGGTTCACCACAAAGTGCTGACAAGACTTATCTTCCAACAGGCAAACATAAATTGGAGCTCTTCCTCCACAGCCTTGCAAAACCACGGCTCATGCCTGCTAACAAAATCCCTTCTCTCAGCAGGACATGGTGCATCCATTAAAGTTTCTGCTTTGGTCTGCATTTACTAAAAGGTGGTGGTTAATTATAAATATGGTTAAGGTTTATGGCTGAGGGGAGGCCCTATGAAATGGACGTGCTGTGGAACCATTAGGAACTCTGTCCATCCTGCAAATGCTGGACAGTTTCTAAAGGTCACAAGCTCCACTTGTCTGCAGAACTCTTGCTTTTTAAAAAACAAAGTTGATAGCACATTAGAAGGAGGAAGATCATTTTTTCCAGTTAATTTGAAAAATGCTGATCTTGATTTTAATCATTTGAAAATGCAGCACAATTCATTTGTGATACCCCTGCCAGCAGGGTCTTTGCTGAATATATAAAAGCAATGTGTTTGTAGGGTCACGGGCAGCTCTTGGACTCTCAGGAGGAAAAGTACTTTTCTCCACCCAAGCATTTATCATGCCAGACTTATGATACTAACAACCACGCATTTTACACTGTCAATATGGCTGTTTACTGTAATAATTGAGTAACTACATCTTACTAGACCAAGCAGCTGGTGGGGGCATCCCCTTCTGAAGGATGTGACACTGCTTTAGGCCCCTTCTCTGTGGCGAAGTAAATGTTCAGGAATAGCTGGGGCAAGCTCTGAAGAGGAGCACTGGAACCTCGGGTCCAGGTGCCCCTCTGTGAGATGCCTGGTTGTGTGTGGCCCAGCAAGTGACACAACCTGGGCAGGCTTGCTTCCTGTGAGCCCTCAGGACCTGCCCCAACCAACCAACCCCAAGACTCGTATCAACCAGGTAGCCAGAGCCATTCCACTGTTATCCTGGAGGGGACCCATTGCCCACTTTGGCAGGTTGGCCAGTGAGTCCCCCTGTTGGAGCCTGCAGCACAGCATGGCCTCCGCCTGCAAGTAGACAGTGCAGGGGACTAGTTCCCTACAGAGAGAACAAGCCTGCAATGATGCCAGACCCCCCAAAAACAGGTGAGCCCCGCTCTGCCCAGTGAGCAGGCAGCCTTTCTACCTCAGGGACCTGGGTCATCTAAGGTTAAGGATGTCTTCTTTCCTCCCCACAGTAGGGTCTGATTCCTACTTTCAACACTCCCAGACTTTCCCACTCCTGGCTTTGCACAGGTGAGCAGGTTGGTGAACACACAGGATTCAAAGACTTGATGGCCCCCTAACCATCCTCCTCTCCTGAATCAGCACCTGACTTTTCCTGCCAGAGAAAAGCTGTGCAGATTGCAAGGCCCATGGGCACCTGTGGCCAGCCTGAGGCGACAGGACACTCAGCCTGCCCCATTAAACACCTCCAACCTGAGCTGAGCCCAGAGAGGGACTGTCACACGTGCCCTCACTACAATACCCAGGCATTGACGCACTGGGTTTGAGCACTTCATAAAAAGAAGATTGCCATTGATCAGTTTGAATGCCAGTTACAATGAAAGGGAAATCTAGAATGAGTTTGGTTTTTTAAAATTATAATACATAGGAAAATCTCCATTCTGCGCAGCAATGAAGAAGCCAGGATGACCAAACATACTTCATCAGCTCAGGGTCCTCCTTGTCATCCTTGGTGGGTGCCACCTTAAGTCCACTCTTCTTGGCACGTGGGCAGCCTGACAAGCTGGTTTTAAAAGAGAGAAATGCCACCTCAGTCCCAGAACAGCAGCTCCCTTGCCATCCATCCCATCCCATCCCCTCGAGCTCTGGGACCCCTGCAGGGCAGAAAGAAGCCAGGGCAGATCAATCAGTCAATCAGTCATTTGGAGCACAGTCCACGGACACAGACCCTTTGCATAGGGCAATAGAGTCAGGAATTCCGGGAAGCATCTTCACGAGCCTCTAGCCTTGACCCTTTGTCTTTATCTCACACTGCAAGGGGCCACTTGACCAGGTTCCAGATGTACCAATAATTCAGATAGATGGAAAAGAGCTCTGATCAGTAGCGACATTAAGAGTGCCTTGTTCTAAACTTTAGAAATTTGTCTAGGACAGAGGCCCCACACATACCCCACCCTGCTGCCGGTCCCTAACTTACCTCCGATGTGAAGCGTAGTTCCCTGTGATATGGCCAGAGCCGTCACAGCCCGGTGTGGGGCACCTGAAGGGGAAAGTGAGATGAGCATGGAGCCTGAGATGGTGTTCACCTCTCTAGGCCTGGCCCTTGAGGAAGCAGATCGTCTTCCCAGCCCAGGGCCCCCGAGGAGCTGCCCTCCTTTAACAGCCACACACCCAGCCTGCTTCTGCCAACAATGGGCATCAACAGAGTCATCTCGAGGCCTTAGCATTTTTCCCATTTGCCCAGGAGCAGGGGTGGGGGTGATCTGGAAGGCTGAGGAGAGAAGCCCAAGGGGCCCAGCTGTACACTAGGCACCAAGGTGAGGTGTGGGGGCCACTGTATCCAAAAGCAAAGATGGACTCCATCTTGGCCATTTATCTGGCTCTAATCTAGACTAGAAGCATCCAGAGTGCACCTGAGCCCTAACTTTAAACACAAGGGCTCAAAGGGCACACCTTGCTCCTGAGACAGCTCTGTCCTCCCAGCTGCGCTGTGGCCTTGCTCTCAGGGAGAATGCACTGGGGCTGAGGGAAACCAATGGGTGCTCACTGAGCACCTGCCATGTGGCTGCTGCAGGACTGATCCCGGTGCAGTGTGTGCAGAACTCACGTAACCAGTGACTTTGTGTTGGTTACTACCACAGGGTAAGAAGGGAAGACACAAAACACAGAAGTCCAACTTTATACACCCCAAAATGTTTGATGAACACATCATATAAGATGGTAAAATAACACCCTAGTATTATAAGCGTGGATGTTCTTATTTTCTCCCAAATGACAACCAAAATAAAATGTTAGCCCGGGCAGGTGTTAGGATGGGGAGGAGGGCTGACTCAGCAGGTGGGCCTATCTCCCCTTTGGATCCGCTCTGCACTTCACCCCCTTGTGAGGGTGCTGGCCTGCAGGCCAGGTGAGTGCTATTTCTGGCACTCTGCACCAGAGAAGCATCTGGCAGACCTCAGGTGTACACTAATGGTGGTGGTCACTTGGTGGCCAGGGTGGCAGACCCAGGCTTATAGGCAGAGATGAGTGGCACCAGTGGTGAGGTGTAGACACACCCATTGGTCCTGGTGAGTCTCAACTGGGCCCATGACTCCCACAGGGAAGCAGGTACTTGACCCATGGCAGGGCTATCCTGCACTTCTTGCTGAGGCCTGATACAATGGCTTTTCCCAAGAGTTGTGTCCAGGAGAAGACAGTGTTCACAGCATCAGAAGGGCAGTTGTCCTAAGTATGCTCCTATGAGCTGTACAGGGTCAGTCACAGGAACTGGAGCCCCCACCACCCCTCCCACCACTTGCCTCCAGTTGCCTTGTCTGGGCAAAAGAATCCATTCCTGATGGACATGTTCTGTGTGGGTAGCACATACTGTGACCCCATCTGAGGGCTTTAGGAGTGACCTTGCCCTGTGCAGAGCCTCCCAGTTCCTGCAGATGTGTGGCTCCCCCTGGACTCCTCAAACACAACTCCTGGGCACACAGTCACACAGAAAGGGGAACAAGTGTCTGTGGGCTTCTCTTATGGGGAAAAATCCTCTTAAGAGTCTTTGCATGTGTTGAGAGGGAAGCCACCAAAAGACTCATCTTCCCTAACCTTGCCAGAGCAACACCCACTCAGGAGGATAAAGAGTGCACCAGGGACCAGAGGCATGGAGGACCCCGCCACCACCACCCACAATCACCAGGCTACACTGTGGTCAGAGAGAAACAGGTGATGGCACCCCAGAAAGACCTCCAGAGCAAAGAGAAGCTCTGGGGAGTGGGGCACATCAGCCCCCCTCCTCCCATGCCTTGCTGAGGCTGAGCAGCTCATTACACACAAGGGAGAATTTTTGCTGCTATTTCTACTGAAGTTTTGTGTTAAAGTTCACAGATTCTCAGTCTCAGGAGGACCCTGACTTCCCAGCAACTGTCTCCTGACAGGATCATGCAAGTTTCCTTCATCAGCCGGGAGCATTGACTAGCTTAGGCTGTGAAAACCATGAAAACCATCATCATGAGAAAGAAAGCAGAATTGGAAAGGAAAACAGAGTATAAGAAAGACGGCAAGAGATGGGTGGTGTGGGAGCCCCAGGGCTGCAGAACTTAGTGCTCCCACTTTGGGTTTCCAGGCCCAGAAATGGTGGGGCAGAGAGTTAATGAGTAAATGTGTAAGCCCACCTAGGTGCACACCTGCTGTTCACTCTCAGAAGGAAACCCAATGGGACACTCTCCTCCACAGGGGCTAGAGACAAGGCTGCAGGGTGGGAGCTGGAGACCCAGGAGTCCAGTCCTACCCTAAAGCAGCCCTGCTCTCCTGAAGCCTTCACACTCTGCTCCTCATCCCAAAGGCTATGTCCAGCTTCTCTCTGGCCCCAAGACCAAGCAAGGGAGTCTTGACCTGGATTCAGGGTCTCCTGATATAAAGCCCACAGGAGGGTGGGCCAGTCCCAGGGACATAAACTACAGAAATGAGAGTGACACCTCCTTCCGCCAAGGCCTCCACTCAGCCCTGGGGCCCAGGATGAGGTCCCTGCAGATCAGGGTCATGGGGTCTATAATGTCACAGCTCAGCCAAAAGCCTGAGAGCCAAAGGAAACAACTGTTTCCAACTCCAATCCCAAGAGGACAGATGCCTTGAAACCTCTGGGTGCCTGCGTCACGTGTGCAGGACACCTCAAGCAGCTGGCTGGTGCCCACAGGGCCTGCCGGCCACGTGTTAGGGGCAGGGAGGTGCAGGAGCAGAAAAGGGGCCAGCAGGAAGGCAAGAGCAGGGAGGGGAAGCATTGGGAGGTGCTGGGACAGAACAGAGCAGCCGAGGGTTGCAGGAGAAGGAAGCAAGGAGCTCTCTTGCACCACTGATTCCATTTCACTCAGCAAGAGCAGCACAACCTGCAGCCACTAGTCATGGCAGGACTTGTAAGCCACAGCCAGTTCTGGCCTTTCTTTAGATCTCTAGGGCTATGGACAAAGCAGACCCAGGCAGCCCTGTGGGATCCTCCAGAGAGGCTGGGGAGGGGCCAGGACTGTGCAGGAACCTGCGTCAGCCCTGGCTCCAGCCCAGGGGAGAAGCAATGGCAGTACCAGAGCAGGGCCACAGGTGGCAGCGCAGCCCCAGCCAGGCAGAAGCAGCCCTTCCTCAGGCACGGCCCCTGCCCACTCCAGGAGAGCAGTGACCAGCCCAGGTGGCATCTTGGGGAGAGCTGACTTTGGCAGGAGCCTCATGAAGGAAAGAGCAAAGCAAGGGAGCTGCCCAAGAGACAGGGGGTCAGGGAGCGCAAACATACTTGAGGTCAGCAGAGTGGGCAGCCATGAGGTTTCTGAGGCTCTTGTCAGCAAGAGGGCAACCAGAGAGGCTGAAAGAGAAGAGATGGGATACGGGGTAAGCCACAGAGGGGGAGCAGAGAAGGAGAAGAGGAAGACCCCCCAGGAAGCACCATGGCCCGGCCAGAGGAGCAGGGGACGAACCTGCGGTGGGAGGCATAGTTCCCAGTGATGTGGCCACTGCCGTCACAGCCAGGGGTGGGACAACTGGACAAAGGAAAAAGAGCATCAGAACCCAGCACGGCGTGCACTGCAGGAGCTGCAGTGGGCGGCCAGGCCTCCTCCTGGCCCCCCAGCCCCCGGGGGAGAGCCCTCGCCCCAGACTGGAAGCTTGCCCCACACAGCTGAACTCAAGAAGGAAAAGCTGGACTCGAAGTTAAGATGCCTCCGAAGCACAGGTGCTGAGCCTTAGCACAGGTGCTGTGTGTGCTCATGTCTGGACACGTAGGCAGGGCCCTTCCCACTTCAGCTCCTGAAGCAGCATGTCCTCCCCTCAGGATAAGAACCTGGGACCAGCACCCAGGGAAGGTCAGCCCCAAGGCAGAAGGGCATGCATGAGTGGGGCTCTGGGTGGGGAGAGGAGGACCGGGTCACTCTGGCACAGGTGCCAGGCACAGCCCCCCACAATCCTCTAGGGAAAGAAGGTGGTTGGCAGTCTGGGCTGAAACAGTGGCTGCTAGAGCTGAGGGTGGAGACCAGGCAGTGTGCTCTGGGCCCAGGCAGGGGTCTAGCTGTGGAGAGAGGGCTGGGCCTCTGTGGCACCGAGGGTTCCTGTGGAGTTTCTGTTCGTGACTCCTTGGTCCCCGTCCTGCTCTGCTCTGTCCTGCTCTGCAGGCTGGCCAAAGACTCTTCCTTGTTCTTAATTGCTTTAGAGGATCACATTAATGCCCAGCACAGCAGTAACAGGCAATGTCTGTCACCATGAGGGCTGCCTGGCTGAAGGTGGTGGAGCCAGGCAGGAGAGGCCCTGAACTGAGACAACCCAGCTGCTGTAGGTGATGACCAGGCCTGCTCCTCCCAGACGGCAGGTGTGACAGCTTACGTGAGCAGCTCCTTCTTTATGTCCTTAGAGAGAAACTTCAGCTTGAAGTTGGTCAGGGTGACTTCTCCTGGGTACTTCCGCTCTTCAAAGTTCTCTTCTGACACCTCCTGGTCATCTGCTTCAGAAGAAGCAAAAGAATGTGCTGCTGGCTCTGACTGCAAAAAACCAGCAGGGAGATGTTTTAACGGCTGGCGGGGAGGCCCGGGCACCTAACCCGGTGAGTGAGAGAGAGGGACCTTTCAAGACAGTGTCCACGAGGCATTTCCTGGGATTCTTGCCTTTTGGAGGAGGGAAAAGGCCCAGTTCCCCCAGGAAACACAGAGGGCATCTGGTGGCCTGGACCCATCCCACACCAGAGCTCCTGGACAACAAGATTCAGGATTCTGTGCTGCCTGTCCTCAGGCCACCTCCACCAGGTCACCCCACAGTATGAACACCTGGGAAAAGAATCCTCAGGCAAGGATGGTGCCCAGATGTCGCAGACCCCAGTTAGGAGGCTGCACTGGTGACAATCTGTTATGACCTGGTAACCCCACCACCACCACCACCACCACCAAGTGTGGTTCTTCACAAGTCACCAGCTAAATACAGGCTCTGGAAGACAGTTCACCAACACATAGATGGGCAAGAAACAGCTCCTCCCAGTAAGGACAGGGCTCCAGCAGGGTCGGGACAGCCAAAGTCCTGCAGGACGGCTACACCATTCCAGGGCTGGCACCCACTTGCCATGGGTCCCAGTACATTGTTCAGGCACTGCTTCTGCAGACCTGAGAGACAGTAATAAGGAAGTGCCCATGGGGCCAGACAACTCAGGAACTGGCAGTAGACCTGGTCAAGAGACTGGTGCTGCCTTTGCTCCACTGAACAGGCTCAGGGAAAGAAACTTCTTTGCCCTAGCAGTTGGAGGAAGCTCCTTGGCAAACATGCCCAGCCTCAGGATATGTGAGGGCTCCCAGAAATAGAGGGGAAGAGATTTTCCCAGAGCCCCATGGACACAAGTGGACTAGAGTACCTGGGGACAGAAAGGATGGGCTGCTATGGCAGTGTGGGACCTCAGGCAGGGCTGGCAGGAGGGTCTGAGTCAGGAATCCAGGACAGAGATGGAGGGACAGAAGGGCTGGACTCAGGAGGCGCTTCTGGGGGTGACCTGTGCCTAGGAGGTGGGTGGGGGAAGAGGCAGAGTTTGGGGATGAGCCAAGGCTACTTGATGCAGAGTAGATGATCGGCCACCACTGGTGAGACAGGCTTCAGTGGGGGGAATTTAGGACCTCTGAAACAGAGTCACCCTATAGATGGTCACTTATTCCTGGAGGTAAAGATGTGACCCAAAAATATGTGTTAAGAGAAGAGGGGGACCAAAGCAGCCTGGAGAGACCAGCACTGAGCAGAGGCCAAGAAAGGGGCAGAGGAGGGCCCAGAACACCAACTCACTGGGCCCAGAAGGCAGCTGGCGGCTAAGTCAGGCCATGGGCTTGTGGGAGGTTGAGTCCTGGGAGTAGGGTGTGAGTGCAGAAGCTTCTAGACCTCCAGATAAGAGCTGGTAGTGGGAATACTACATGCCACCAGGCAGGGCTCCTGCCCACCCTGGGGAGGAAATCGGCCTTAGGTGACCAGGCAGAGGCAGTCCCAGGTGCAGTCCCCTCCAATGGGGACTCAGCCTGTGCCACCTCCTCCAGGACCTGACATCTGATGGGGGCAATGTGACCTAGTCAGGGAGCCCAGTCTATCCCTCTATAAAATGGGTGATCCTGAGTCCCACCCCCGGGTCAAATGAGGAGCCTGGCTCACATTGGGTTGGGCCAGGAGGGGGCCTTACCACACCTCCCCATGCCTCCTTGGGCACTTGGCTCCATCCCCTGCAGATCCCTCTGGGATCCCCTCCAGAGGAGTCTGGAAAAGGGAGAAGTATGGGGAGCCTACAGGCCTCATGCTGCCTGGACCCTATGTGTCCTTGGAGCTGTCCAGTTCCTTGGGAGGCCCTCTCCTAGGGGAAAAGCCCCAGTGAGCCCATGCCCAGGGCTCTTCATCTTACATGTCAGATAGATAGGCGATGGGAAAGGGAAGTCCCCACAGCTCCAACACCAATGCTTGAGCTACCTCCTCTTTACCAGGTTAGTACTGGTCTGGGGGACTCAGGCCACTGCCCACCATGGAGGCCTCACATACAAGGGGGATCTGGGGCGGAAGTCACTCACTATCTTGGCCCAAGGAACCCAGTAGCTGAGACCCTGTCTGGATAGCAGATGTGTTTTTCAGGTGGGTGGGAGGCTCACAAAACCAAAGAAACCTGAGCTTTCTCCAAATCAGCCCCATGGAATCTGAAATAATGCCCTCTCCTCCCCACACTCCAGGACCATTCCCATTGGTGCTGACCATGCATTCTGCAAGGTGAGAAGACCACTTCTGTCGATGGACAATGCTGAAATGGCTAAGCAGGAGAAACCCTTCCTGGAGGGCAATCCCTGAGTCCCAGCTGCCCAGAGGGCGAAGGCTCCTGTGTGCAAAGGAAGGGACCCCAAAGTCCTACCAGAGCCAAGAGGTGTATGTAGCCTCTAGGAAGTGAGCAGCTGCTCCACCTGATCACCCTCTTGTGCCGGCCCGCCCCACACCTACCTCATCAGGCTCCTCTTCTCGTAGACGGCTGGGCTTAGTGTAGTCTAGGGGCCGGTCCCACTCATCCTGACGGGAGGCCTGGCTGGACTGGGGCGAGGTCATGGAGCTGCTGGGAGCACTGGTGCTGCTCTGGCGCTGGGAGGTGTCGGGAGACTTGACACCAGGGCTGCTGCTGCAGCTGCTGCTGCTAGGGAAAGCTCCCTCCCGCTGGCGGCGCTTGTGCATGCTCAAGTCCAGTGTTCCATTTTCATCCACCTCAATGTCCACAGACTAGGTTGGAAGGTGAAAAATACATGTGAGAGTCAACCCTCCTCACACCAGCTGCTGCATCCTCACTACAAGAGAGGTCCTGCAAGAGTAGGCCCCTCCAAGGCCAGGAGCAAAGTTAAGTATGAGAATTGCCAACTCGACCCTAGCTATTCCTGGAAGCATCTCCTGCAGGGAGTGGGTGGGCCTGGCTGCAGTCCCACCCACTCACGCCTCCTGGGAAACTGCAGAGAGCATGCCCACCTTGCTGGGTAGGTCCTGTGGCTTGGTGCTGAGGTTCTCTGGCATCTCCCAGCAGCGGGTGGAGAGGTTCAGGATGGCAGTGGCGGCCATGTGCGCAGCCTCAGCGTCGTGTGAGTAGTCGAAGCCTGCAGAAGAGGGTGGGGTGCTCCTCACATAACTACTGGGGGGCTGTGCCTCAGGGGAGGAGGCCTTTGGGGAAGGTTTGGCTGCAAAAAGGGAACAACACCGCTGACTTAGACAGGGACAGAGATGGCAAACGCATGGGGTGTGCCGGGGTCAAAGCACAGCCACTGCAATGTGGGCTTGGGCACAGCTGTTCACCCCTCCAATGCTCCCCCCCCTCAGCCCTGAAGAGACCTCTCATTTCTGGCCTGACCAAGATCTAAGCAGAAAGAACAAAACTGTCCAAAGACATCCCAGCAGCCCTGGTGTTCCAAGCAAAAATAATGTGTCCATTAGCAAATGCCTGGTGAGAGACTGGAGAGTTCTGTGGAAAGGGTGTTTGGAATGTCACTCCTGGGGAACATTTTGTCACATGGTATCAGAAGATATTACCACATCTCAGCTGACTTTGCACACCTAGTTAGTAGCTCCTGCCTTAACAAAGCAGCATTAGGGACCAGACAACACAAATGAGGGAGTGAAATGTCTTCTCCCAGAAATGCTCTTCTGCGTGACACCGAGCAACCAAAAACACCAGTGTTTCCAGCTCTAGCTAGTGAAATGCTCCTGGAGGGTCCTGAATAGCCTGCAGGCACACAGGCCCAGTCCTGGTGCACAGGCTCTCTCTGCTACAGGGAGGAAGAGCCTCCCACCCAGGAGGTTCTTCCAGGGGCAACTCAGGAGCAGCAGAGAACTCCTCTTGGGCTGCCCCACATCCACTGGGAGGCACGAACCCTAGTCACGGTGTACTGTGTGCTTTTCCACCTTGCATCATTTCCAACACTGGCAAATCAGTGCAATGAAGAAAAAGAAAAGATGGGAGGTTGTTCTAAAAGTTATGCAGGAACAATTTTTATCAATACAAACGTTGCTGATGCCATAAACAGCATTTCCAATGAGATGGTCCCTGTGCAAGAAAGCAAGTGGCTTCCTGCCAGGGTAAAAGTCCTGTCCCACCCCACAGTCTGACCCTCCCCAGTGGCATTGCTAGGAGTAAACTCCCCACTGCATTGGGAAAGGGGGCCCTCTCAGGGTGAGCCACGTCAGTGAAGTTATTCTTAAGTCTCTGGACATACACCCATAAAGGACCTGGTTTTGCTTCACAGATACTTAGGAAACATGTAGGGTCCCCAGAAGCACATGGAGAGACGTGGGCCTCAAGGAAGCCCTAGCAGTTACCCCAGGGCATCCAACACCTCGGACTTCCACCTTAGTCCCTTCTAGCTGCTCAGGACACTGGGCCCACCCTCCCAAAAGCAATGCAAGAAGAAAGACAAGAATGATTCTCCCCAACTTACATTGGAAGGCTTTGGGTGAGGTTTCGCTGGTCTGAATCTTTGGGGCAAGCATACGTTTGCCAAAAACCTGAGCGTCAAAACTTGCGTAATCAAAGGTGACCTTGGAGAACTTCTCTAGCTCCTTGGCCAAGTTGGCCCTCGGTGTGGCAGGAGCCACGTTGGGCCGGTAGCTCCCATAAGGAGGGACCTCAAGCTGCTTCACAAAGCACATGGGCCTGGAATGGGACAGAGATGAGAGCCTGTGAGGGACAGGGAAACAATGCCACCCTCCCTGTCCTATCCTACAGCCCAGGCAGGAAGCCCTTGTAGCCCATTGAGAACGGAGACCCAGGGAGACAGCCCCATAGCCTACCCCTGAAGACCATCAGAATGCCAGCTCCTGTGGCAGGCTTGTGATCAGTACAAGGAAGGACTACTCACCAGGAGGCAGCAATAAGAACACGCAAGGAAGAGCACTACCTCCTCATGCAGACGGCAGTGGCCAGAGGAAACGGCCTGAAACTGCCCTCCAGCTCAACTACAGTTGGCAAGCCCTCAGCAGGGAGCCCAGCTGTAGCACAGCCCAGCGCAATGGTGGACCACTACCTAGCAGAACAGCCTAGCACTCCAGCAAGGAGGACATCAGGATGTCTGGGGGGGACACTGGCTTGAAAGTAATATCATGGCCTTTGGCCCCCTGACCCAGTTTTTCCTCAGGCAAGGACTTAGTGGACCTCTTCTCAAATCTGGGTGAAGACAGCCACATGAGGGTTTGCTAACAGGGTCAGCAGCAGGCATGAAAAGGCCACAGAAAGCTTTTGGTCCACGGAGGTCCACTGAAGAGTCCTTGGGAAAGGGTTTGTACAGCAAGGGAACAGAAAGGGAGGCAGGCTGCGGGGGCGGGGAGAGTGAGACCAACGAGCACAGAGGGCTTTCTGAACCAGTCCGCTCAGAGAAGCGGGGAGACAGCCCCAGTGGGCACCCAGCAGTCCTTGTCCTTATCTGGACCAAGCAGTGACTTCAGTGATTTGTGAGGTATGAGAATGGGTGAGGCCCCCAAGCACGAGGCACTCTAAGAACTTGAATGTGGCCTCAGAAGAGAAGCACCAGGTAACCTACAGCTTCAGGCCAGCTCTGAAGGGCCTGGAAAGACCAGACAGCACCCGAGTATGGGATGCACCTAGCATCAGGAAGGAAGGGGCCCAGGCTAGACTGGCCAGCAGTACCTGGGGAGGCTGCAGCACAAGGCCACTGGGCTTCAGCAGGGACACACTGACTCTGACCTTAGCATCTGTGCCACTTTTTCCTTGGCCAGTGTTTTGCCAGGATCTTTAGACTTGGGGTCATAGATACCAAAGAAGCTTTGCAAAGCCTTTCCTCACACCCCAGGCTAGGACCCCAGAAATGTGGCCCAGATGGAATCAGCAGCCCAGAAGATGGCTCCTGCACTTGGCACCGCTGCAGGTCAGGTGCTCAGCAGGGACTGGGGAATGCAGCATGTCGATGAAGCCTGATAAGAACTTTGGAGTTCCAGAGGTGGACAAACAGGTCCCAGTCCCCTCCAAGTCCAGGGCCTGTTTCTCTCCCTAACCTCAGCAGGCATTATACCCAGGATGTTTTAATATTTTATCAGTTACTTAGATCATGTCAGGGAAAGGATCAAATTAGCAACTGACAGAAAGCTGGAAAGAAAAGCAAAGAGTATGGAGGAAAGAAGCTGCTTCAAACCATCTGGGAACCAGCCATCAGGAACATACCAGCGGGAACCTGCAGGCCCACAAGAGCCCATGGATGGAACATGAGCACGCCCACCCATGAGCAGGAAGTTGAGCCCTGTCCCAGCCAGAGATGCAATGAATGGGAATACTCCTTCTGAGGGACTCTCTAGAAAAGCCAGTCAAGGGCCAGAGTGTGGCACAGCCATGGTTGGCAGCCAAAATCTTCTGACTGAGGTTCTGCAGGCCCATGTCAGGAAAGGCAGAGGGCAGTAGCCATGGAGGCCCACAAAGAGGTGGCAGCACTGTGTCAGCCAGGGCTTGGCCTCCGCTGGGCACGATGGCCTGTCTCCTGTGCTCCTGTGTGGGGAGACAGAACTTGGAACAAGGATAGGAGAAGCAGGGAAAGAGGGAAATGAGCAAGCTTGTTAGAGAAACGGGGACGAGCAGGGGAAATGAGTCACGGAGCCTCTTGGCCCCACCAGGTGGAAGACTGCAGTTGAGAATAAGGCTCTGACAACAGACCAGTCAGGAGGTGCAGCCTTGAGAAAGTGCCCAAACCTCTGAGTTTATCTGTGAAACCCAGATCCCAGGGTCACCTGTATGGAGGGAGCTAAGCAGATGCATTCTGGGAGGTTTTTCAGAAAGTCCCTGCATTGCTGAGAGTATTCTACAAATGCATGCACACACGCAGTTGCACACACATGTGAATGTATCATGGATGCACACACCCACACAGGTGTGCAAACCTACAAGCCAATACATACACGAGCCCAGTGTTGCCTCCGATGCTCACAGACCACACAGGAGGCAGTGCTGGGAGCAAGGCCTACACCCTTCCTTCTCCCTTGCCTTAGGGTCTATCCTAGGATGGAAAGACAGACAGGACAGACAGGAATTAGTGCCATGGTGCTCCCTGGATGTCTACTGTCCTGGGATGGTATGGTCTGCTGTCTCCAGATAGGAACAGGGTCTTCTCTACAGATGGAGCAAGTGCCTTGAGAACAGCACGGCAAAGCAGCCTGTGCCTAAGACCAGAGTGCTCATGCAGGTTTGTGCCTTGGATGAGGGTCTCGTGAGTGCCACAGCAGGGGATTCTCCTGTGGGATGAGTGGTGCACATGAGTGGTTCTGTAGCTCATATCACCGACCTGAGGATCCGATCTGAATTGGAGCTATTCTTGGAAGGATCTCCTGTCTGTGGTGGCTGCTTCTCATGAGATTTGGCTAATTTTTCAGCAGCAGCAATGGGACATCCAGACAAACTAGAGGAAAGAAAAGGAGAGAAACCTGAGTCTTTTCTTCCAGGCCAGGCTGTCCTGGGTGGCCAGGTGTGTGGGTTTGAGAGTAGCATCATTCAGTGAGAATCCCAGGTGTATTCCTGACTCATTCCCACAGGACAAAGTTTTCTCTCTGGCTCTGTCCTGAGTCCTCAAAGTACAAGTTGCTCATTTCTGTTTTGGAAAATTTATGCCAGTGACACACAAAAATGAAATGCCTACTAAAGGGTAGTGAAGCCCAGACAGAAATACCTTCTTCGGCTAGGCCTGGCACCAGGCTTCCCTCTGACTTTCTGGTCATTCGCCAGCTCCCAGGGCCAGGCTCTGGAACCTCTCTGGATGACGTCTGTAAGTTGACTTGGGGGAACCAAGGGCCCCACTCAGACCACAACTTGGGCACTATCCCTGGAAGATTCTGTACCTTCCTAGGAAAGTGACCAGGATAAGGGCAGAGCAGTTCCACCTGTCAAAACTGGGTTGACAGTGAGCTCAGGAGCCAGCTCTAGGACATGGGGGTGACACAATCACATTGTTTGGGAACTCGGTCTCTTGTCCAATGAACTGAGCCTGAGAGCTCTGGCACTTTCTCCATCTGAGTGTGTGCCCACGGGGGCCCAGGCACATCCTGTAGGGTATGGCTGACCATTGCTCTCAGATGAGCTAGAACCATGGACCCCTCTCATGGAGGGAGATGACCAACAACTAAATATAGTCAATGGCCTGGAAGCTTCATGTCCACCTGCTCTGCACTTGCTCAGAAAAGCCCAGAGTGTAGCCCTGTCCCCTGAGCTCCCTGCTTATGTCTACATTTGTCGCTCACCCACGAACAGAGGTCTTCCAAATGGTCAAGACACAAAGTCGTCACCTGGCCCTCTGCACAAGGGTCAGACCTTTCAGAACAGGCACATGTTCACCCCCAGTCAAAGGGGTGTGGGCAGCCACACAGCAGGTGGTCAGAGCTCCAGGTGCCACTCCGTCCATACAAAGGCCCCTCGGATACGCACAGGCCCTCACCTTGTAACTGCTGCATCAAGCAGCTGCAGGGAAGCTGCTATCACTCAGGGGCCACATGTCAGGCCAGAGCCCATCCCAGGTGAGGGCTCGAGGCCAGGGCGAGCACATACACCATACGCCCAGCCCAGGTTCCCCACCACAGCCTAGATCAACCCAGGTACCTTCTATGTGTGTTGCGGTTGCTGTTCACATGGCCCTGGCCCGTGCAGCCAGGAGTGGGACACTTCAGCACATTCTCATGCATGGCCAAGACTGTAAGAAAACCAGAGAAGGCAGACAGCGATGACCTGGTATGGGGGGAGAACCGCCCAAGGAGGCTACAGGAGCCCTGACTGAAGCCTGCAGCTTTGTAGGCAGAGAAGAGCCATAGTAGCTTGAGGCAGCAGCTCAGGGTGACTGCCTCTGTAGAGTCTGTAAACATAAGCCCACCCTCAGCCAGGTGAGGCGTGTCCCTTCACCATGGACTCCTCCTGGGTCAGAATCTAGAGTTTACTTTGAAACCTCTTATTTTTCTGTTTTGCAGTTCTCAGCTTCCAACCTGAAAGTACAGACTCCACCTTCCCTCTCAGCTGACAGCCAGGGTCTATGCAACTTCCTAGGGTTCTGACCAAGACTGGCATCTCCAGGCAGAAATGGGCAGGCTGCTGCCCCCAGCCATGTCACAGGGCTAAATTTCAGGCTTAGGCAGTTTGAGGGAAACCTAAGAGACAAGGCCCTGGACAGGCTGCCCCTCCCATGGACTCCTCCAAATACCCTGCATGGAGCTACTCACTCTCTGGGGGGATCCTGTCCTTATGGGGACAGCCAGACAGGCTGCGGTGGTGAGGATACAACCCAGTAACATGGCCAGTGCCATCACAACCTGGTGTTGGACACTTGATCTCACGCTTCTCAGCTCTTGAAGCATCTGAAACACACAAGACATGCCACATAGAGCTAGGAGGCTGGGCAGGGGAATGGGCAGGGAGATGCAGGTACCACTCACACCCCTCACTCTGGCTGTCCAGAGAGAAGGGAGGCAAGACCACCCAGGACCCCAAAGGCACAGGAACTGAACAGCAGGTGCCCCTGGAGAAGCTGGTCCAAAACCCAGAGGCATCTACCCCTAAAACAGGGCAAGCAGCATTGTGAAGAGAACCATCCGTGTGGGATGGAGTCTCTGCCCCTCCTTCTGGGTATGGAGGCATGTGGGCAACCCTCTGTAAGGCAGGGGAAGTCAGTTTGCCTCCCACTGCCAGGGTGTCCTTGGGATTTGACAAAAAGAGGAGGACAGAGTTTAAGGAGATTATCTACAGCTTCGTAACTAAGAAATGCCTATGCAGAATTCCATACCAGATCTCAATCCTTGGCTTCCTCTGGCCTCTGCAGGCCCAGGTAGGTCACTATTGAATGTGGGGATCAGAAGGACATGGAAGAACCTCAAAGCAAAGCCACATCTCAGAGATGCTCTTTCTGGATGGGCCACCTTTCAGGAGGGAAGGATGTCCCCAAGCTCAGAGTCCCAACCCATAAGGCAGGGCAGGAATTTAGAGTTTCACCCATCAAGCACCAGGGTGCCTGTGCCCAACCCCTGTCTTGGTCCAGAGCTCTCAATGAATCCACTCCCCAGTCCACCACTGTTTCAATGCAGGAGGGTGTACTTCTGTCCACACGGGCTGACAATGCTGCCCCATGCCCTCAGCTCAGCCACCACGTCCTTACTTCAGGAACAGGTACTCTGCACCTGAAAGTCCCTCTACACCTGAACCCAGGCTGCCCTCGGTGAGCCACCAAAGTGTGTGTGCCCTGACCTGCAGACCTGCAGCTGACAAGCCCAGGCCCTGCACCTGTCCCTGAGTCTGCCCCACCCTCAGCCTGTGTGTCCAGGTTCCCAGGCCCCAAGTTCTGAGCCTGGCTTCCATCTGGGCCCCCAGACAGTAACCCCGATCTGTGTCACCAGAAAGGTATCCCCTCAAGAGTCACTGTCCAGGCCCTCCTCATGCTGAAATCATATCCCTGCCTGTGCCCCTCATTATCTGTCCCCTATGTGTGGGTCTTTCCAGAAATTGTGTTCCCTGTCTCTGCCCACCTGGCTATGGTGCTCTGAGCTACCTCTCACTCCAGGCTCTCTCCGGGTGACCTAGATGTGTCTTCCAGGGGTCACCCCATGTACACGTCTCTTGTCTTTTTGGTTCCTGACTCCAGCATCTGAATCAACCCCAGCCCTCAACTCCCTCCTTATCTGGCCAGTCTCTGGTGTAAGTCAACCCTCCCCAGGGTGGGCAGAGGAAGGGCACAGGGAGTACTACTGCCCAATCCATCCAGAGAAGAGAGCCTGGCCTGGGATTAAAAAGAGGAGTCAGGGGTCAGGGCAGCTCCCTGATCTTAGAGGCCAAATTCAGGCCCAAATACAGAGCCAACCACAGGCCAGTCCCTTAGAAAAGCAAGGGTCAGACAGACATCCCTTGCTCCCCGCCTGCCCCCCCACACACATCTCAGTCTCAGATGTCTTCCCAGACTCCCTGCATAAAGTGGCACAAGCCTGCTCCCCTGCTCCCTCCAGCTTGGCCCGTGGTCCTGTGAGTACTTGCCCCTGTCTGATCTTCTGTCCTCCCCACACCCCATCTCTGTCAGTAAGGGCGTCTAGCTGTGTCTCTCCCTCAGCCTGTACTCCACACCTGGAAGCCAGGAGGGAGGTGGGAGTGCAGGGCAGATCACTGCTAGCCTACCTTTACTGTAGCAGCTCTTCCGCACAGCATCCAGGGGCTTGGCCGACTTCCCGGGCTCACCTGGGCCCAACTGGCCCTGCTCAGCAGGCGGGCAGCCTGGCTCACAGACAGTGCGCACCTGTTCAGCCTTCAGGGCGATGGCCTGCTCCAGAAGGCCCAGGTTCCCTCGGGTCATCATATCGTACATCTCCGACTCATCCGTGACCGCTGACTTCTGGGACCCTGCATCCTCCTCCTTGTCATCATCAGAGCGGACCTCCACAATGACGGAGTACTCAGGCTTGGGACTGGGCAGCTCTAGGCGCCGGGGCTCGGGGGACTTCTGGGCAGAGTTATGGGAGGCATCCTCCTCAAAGATCACCTCCGGAGTGGCCTCCTCCTCCCCTTCCTCCTCCTCCTCCTCCTCCTCCTCCTCCTCCTCCTCTTCCTCCTCCTCCACCTCCTCCTCCTCCTCCTCTTCCTCTTCTTCTTCCTCCTCTTCCTCTTCATCCTCCTCTTCCTCCTCCTCATGGCCCAGGACACCTTTCTGCTTGCTGGAATCCTCGATGGCCTCATCCTCCAGGGACTGGGGACACGGCTCCTGGGAACGCTCACTGGTGACTTCAATGACTTCCTCTGCATCCTCTGGCTGGATAAAGAGATCTTTCTCCCCCTCGTCACTGGTGGCCCCCTCCACAACCTCCTCCTGAAGCAGGTGCAAAACACTGGGGCCCGTCTTGGCCACCTGGCCCGAGTCCTCTCCCACCAGGGTCTCTCCAGCAATTTGGCCCAGGTTGAGGAGAGAAGTGGCGATGATTCCCTGGCAGCTGCTGTAGCTGCCCTTGCAGGAGCCAGTGGGACTGCCGATGGGGTTAGGTCCAAAATGGGACTTGACAGGGCTCCTTCCTGCACAAAATCAGAAACGCCATGGGGGCTGGAGGAGAGTGTGTGGGGAGCATCCAGGTCTCTGGCTCCCAGCAGCAGCCCCACCCTGCCCCACCCACCCTCCCTCAGCACAGCCCGGGAGACTGGGAAGTCCGGACGTGGGGGCCAGGTGTGGTTGTTCCTGCCAGCCCTCTGCCTGAATCCAGAGATCATGGAGAACTTGTTAGGAGGTCATAAGCCACTGCTGCATTTCTAAAATTGAGGATTACTTTGATATTTTTGGATTCATGTTTCTTCTCCATTACATTTTATACAAAGGAGCTTAAAAAGCAAATCAGATTTTTAAAAATTATTTCATGATTGAGAAGCATTTTTATTTTTAAAGGATTAAAATTTAAGTCTTCAGCCACAATAACTAAGGCGTGGTCACTGCACGCAGACCCTGTGGGACTTGGGCCAGCACTCCTGGCAACAGTGGGAGCCACTCTACCATCCACATGCACCAGGGTAGATGCTCTAGCCACAGTGCCCAGCCCAGGGCATTGGACACAGGAGCTCTTCTTCCAGGAGCAGGCAAGTCAGAATTTCTCCACCTGGAACACAGGCTGGCTTGCTTCCATGAGCCCCTTACTCACTCCAGAGCCCCAGGGAAAGGCAAGAGCCCCATCCTGGATTTCTCCTAAAGAAAAACAGACTCCATCCCAGCCCTGAAAGTCAGATGACACCAGACACTGTGGGGGCAGTAGGGTTTGGCCTAGAGCCTCACCCTGACCCTGGACTCCACGGGTCTGCCAGGGCTCTTGAGAATGAGACAGACCCTTCCCTTGTGGCTCAGGGGCCACCTTTACCCACATTTGCCAAGGGCTGTGCCCCCATTATGGCCAGCCATGGTGGGCTCCACAGGGAAGCAGGCCCCTCAGCCTCCACTCGCCCCCTCTCGGCTTCCCCAGGCACCCCACCTTCAGAGGCCCCACTTGATTCCCCACCACCTAAGGCTTAATCTGAGGCACCTCCTCAGCACCTGCCCCTCAGTGTTTGAGGACAAGCAGACCCACCCAGGCAGATTTCCCAGAGGGCCAGGCAGGACACACTCCAAGAGCCACCCACAGAGACACACCATGACCGTGGAAGCGCACTAGCCCCATGTGCACACAGGCCCTCCAGTCTCTCCCTGTTCGGTGTTCGCACACACCACAGACCACGTGCCCTGTGCAGCCCCCCCCCCGCCCCCTCCCCCGCCCAGGGAATGAGCACAGGTCAGGACAAGACAGTCCTTGTTCTCAGGAAGACTCCCTCGCTCGGCGTGAGCTCCCTCCCGCTCATAGGCTGCATTCTCCAGGCCACACTAAGCGCCCTTTATTCGCAGGAGAAAGAGCAACAAAGCACCTTCAGCTGGCTCAGGACGATGAATCTCCTCCTGTCCCAGCATCTCGGCCTCAGCCTCCTCCAGAGTTCCTTCTGATTCATCCGAAACAGAGGCTTCCTTCACCTCGGCCTCCTCGCTGCCATCACTGTCCACACTGTAGCCCTCGTCCAGAGCCAGCTTCAGGGGGTGAGACTTCCTCTTAGACACCAGGTGCTCGGCCTCCGTGCCCTCCAGCTTCCTCTTCTTGGCCAGTGGGCAACTCTGTAAACTGGAAGGGAGAGGAGGGTGAGGGTAGAGCCAGGTCAGGGCCAGGGGAGGCTTCGGAGGCCTGGTGAGCAGCCCCCTCTGCAGCCACTCTGACTGGAAGCCCCAAGCTCAGATGTATTTGAAATTTTGTATCTAATTATGTATGTTTAAAAGTTCCTAGGGGTTGGGGGTGTAGCTCAGTCGTAGAGCACTTGCCCAGCATGAGCTGGGCCATGGTCCAATCCCTAATTGCATTACAACTGGCAGCCACATCCACACCTAGAGCAGGACTCCTGGACCCTCAAGGGCTGATGACCCAGGCTCCTCCTCTCCTAGGGACCCATGAGACCTGACCCACATCCCTCATGCTCTCGAGCAGATCCTGGACGTCTACTCCACCCCAGTCTTCCCCTCACCTGAGACTGCTGCATGCACACCCACCCTGCGAACTTGCACTGCAGGCCAAGCTGACCACATGAGGCAACCACACTGACAACCCAGCAGCAGCCTACACCATCCCCACTGTGCACCAGGCCAGTTCCAAACTCTGCTGCACAGGCACATCCAGTGCTTGCAGCAGCCCCCGGTGGGAAAACCAGGTGGAGAGCATAGTTCATCTAGCTACTGCTCTGGCAAGCTCTGCCCAGTTGGCCTCCTCAAGGCCCCGGGAACACGGTCCACTTGGGACTCTATGGCTCAGAAGGGCGGGGGTCAGCCTGGTCTCAGCAGGCTGCAGATAGAAATGGAAGGTTCTGGCTCATAGACGGTCCCAGGGCAGGGGAAGGGCCACCCCTGGTGAGACGAAGACTGGTTACCTGCGGTGCCTGGAGTACTTGCCCCGGACATGTCCAGATCCTGTGCATCCTGGGGTGGGACAGCTGAGGAGACAAGCAGGAGAGGTCACCTCGGGCAACAAGATCTGGGCTCAGGGGTATCCCACTCCTGACTCTGGGGAGAGGGGATGGCCTCCCAACAGCTCATCACAGCATGGGCCCTGGCAGTTTGCTAAAAATTAGTGAAATAACTCACCCCATTTAAATAAATGAATGGCTTGTTATAGTGTTATGAGTGTGGTTAATTAAAGTTCTGTATGAATGAGAGCAAGGCATCTGCTGAACGGACATCTTTCCCCATTGCAGACCGTCTGTCAGCATGACCAGATCAATAGGAACCCATGAGCACTGGCAGCCGGGATGTGATTCTTCGAGGTGCCCTCCTGGAAGGGCAGTACAGAGGGGCATTTTGGAGCATGAGGTCAGGGTCTGCCACACCTGGTACTCCTGGGGGCTGCAAGGAGCTGCCCATACCCCAAAGCACTGCAGACCAGCAAGCCAGGGAACCCAAGAGAGATCCCCTGAGGGAGGGGTGAGGCAAGCCTGAGCCCCCACAGGAGACCCTGGAGGCCCCATTGTTCACAAGATTGCTGAAGCAGTCTGAGTCCTGCCTGGGGTCAGCTTTCCAAAAACATGGCACTTCTTCCCAAAGCCTGCAAAGGGGGGGCAGGTGGGGTCACAACCCCACCTATGTCCAGATACCCCCAATGGTTTTAGTGTGACTGACCATGGCCTAACTGCAGCTTGGAGCCCAAATGGCCCTGCAGACCACATTCACCAACCACGTCAGGGGTCGCCAGAACTGTCTGTAACAGAGTCACAGTCTCCCAGCGAAGCCTGCAACACACCCCTCCCCCATAGGCCACCACACACTCCAGGGCTGATGCTTGGTGTGCTGAGAAGCCAGGAAGAGGCTGGCGGAAGGGAGGGAGGGAGGGAGGGCGGGGAGGGACCCCAGCTAGTTTCCTTCCCAGACAGAGGGGAGGCCGCTACCCCTGGAGGCCCACACTTGCTCTCACTCTCTCAAGAAATAGCTTTGAGACTTTTCACAAAAAGCTCCTTGTTATTGAGGATTTGAAGCTGAGGTCCCAATTAGTCGATTAATCACTGAGTTAATCAGGCAATTAGGCGACAGCTGCTGCGGAGGCCTGGGGGGCACTGCACTGCCCCACACACGTCACCTGCTCCAAGCCACCCGCCACCCTGTACAGAAGAGTCCTGGTCCCCAGCCAGGTGGACTGGCATCTTCCCATCCTGCCACCCAGGGTGAGGGCCCCAGCTGTGGGCCCAAATGCATGGAACTGGCAAAGTTACTTCGGGACAGAAGTAGAGGAAGAAGTGGGCAGAGCCCCCTCGGGACCTGCCAATGCCTCCAGAGGCTGAAGTGGGAGCAGACATCAGCCTTGGGCCTCACAGCCTCACAGGTTCACCCCTGAGAGCACACGGGTGAGCACCAGCAGGGCTACATGGTGCCTCCGCGTGCTCAGCCACAGGGCCAGGGCCGGTGAGCAGCTACAAAGGCCCCCGGAGCCTCCTCCACCCACTGTGGGAAGGGATAGGCCACGTCAGGCCCTCCCCAGCCACTTGAGGTGCCCAGGGGTGCTCACAGCACCCAACAACAGGCCTCCTGAAGGCCCCAGCACAGCGCCCTTGCCATGATGCTGGCATCAGTCATCAGAGTCAAGCAAGTAACTCTGGCGTGGTGGCAGAGAGCCTGGCTGGTGGCCACCTCTCAGCAGGCATCCCAGACCACACCCTTGAAGGGCCCAAAAATGAACTATAGGCATTAGAAACCCAAGCTGGGAGAGAGGCCAAATCCCAGCTAGGAGCTCACGCTTGGCTATTGCCCTTCAAAGGATCTGTCTTCCCTCCCACTCTGTGGCAGCAGAAGGCCCCCACACCACCTGTGCTCCAGCGGGGAGCTGGTCCACTGGTAGTTTAAGGAGGAAGTCCCTCAGAAGAGGAAGGGTCAACTGCAGGGGATCCTGGGTACCAGATCTTTGCCCTTGAAGACAGCCCTGACTGGCTCAATAGCATGTCTCAAAGATACTAACCCTAATGCTCCATAACAAGAGAGTCTTTCCAGTGGCGAGTGACTTTGCCAGGCCCAACCGAATATAAACTGTCTGGTCTCCCTCGAGTGTGTAGAGAAAACCATCAACATCCTTTCTTCTCCCAAGAACTAGACTGTTTATTTCAGGGCTCAAGGAAAATTCAGGAGTTCCAGAAGCCAGAGGAGCACTACAGGGTCCTGCTGGCTTGGAGCCAAACCCCTTGCTCACCCCATAGCAAGCCCCTGCTGCCACCTAGGAGCCAGCATCTTCCTGAGAGCTCTGCCTGAGCTCTGGGGAGTCCATGCTTGGAGTCCTGAGGTAACAGGGCTTAAGTCTCTGATCCTGAGTTCTGCACACAAGAGCTCCCCCAGGTGATTCTGTGTAAGCTCACCTGCATCACCATTTGCACCCAGACCATAATGTTCTCCTCCCAGACACAGCTCAGTTCTCTGTTTTGGCACAACAACATGAGCCCCACCAGGACAGAGTCTCATCTGCTTTCTGATGGGAACCCGTGGTGGACAGGTTCTGGGGTGAGCAGCACCGGCCAACTCCCAGATGCTCCCACCATGTCTGACACACATAGCAGATGGTCACCACCTGCAACTTGTGACCAGTGAACACATGCATGCACAGGAAGGGGAGGCCCCTGCACAGTGTGCTGATTCCTTGGCACAGACTCAGTTTCATTTTACTGTAAGCATCGCCTCTCAAAAATGAAGAATTGCAGAAGAAATTTTTGCTAGAACTCTAGATGCAAGGCATTTACCCCTGGTGTCTCCCCAGAAAAGTTTAAGGGCATCATTAGTAGCACGTAACCAGGTGGAGAGCACAGGACAAATGCAGTGACAAAGTCCAGATGCTCACCAGCCTCATGTGCACTGCCGGACCATTCAGGAAGGCTAGCAACAAGCACAGCCACTTCAAGCCACTTTTCCTTCTGTTCTTTGGAAGTTCAACCAAAGCCTGAGTGTCCTCCCTCAGCCTCCTTGCCTGGGCCTCTCCTCCCACCTGTGTCCAGAAGGAGTCCCCAGGTGAACACCACCTCCTCCTGGACTTGGCCCCTTAGAGGTGGCTCCCCTCCTAGGAGCTGGCCAAGTGCTCCAGTGAATGCCTGTTGTGGGCACCCCTGAGCCCTGGGGTGCCAGAAGATCAGCAGTGCCTGGTATGACTGCAACTCCCTCACACCTCCCGTCCTGGACCCAGGGCTGCCATCCAGCAGTAGAACACTGGTCTAGTTCTGGCTGGATGCAGTTTAATCCTGAGGAGGATGAGCTCACGTGCCTCACAAACCACCAGGCAGCACTTCCAGGAGAAGCCCTGAGCCTGATGCCGCAACCACAGCACCCCAGAGCCTGGGGCCCAGAGCGGCCCTCCCACCCCTTCTCCTCCATCACCAGCTTACAGTCCCAAACACTGGGGGGATACTGGCACCCTGCTCACCTCTGCCCAAAGCTTACAGAGTGACCTTTGGGGCCTTGCATTCTCCTGATTGGCAGAAGCCATTCACTCAAGCAGTGTGTGCGGAAGAATAAGACACTACCTGCCCCAATTTTTCACAGTTTAGTAAGAATCTTTACCTTAAGCCGTTGAAGAAGGCATCCCAGAACTGCCAGCTGTACCCAGCCACTGCTAGGTCTCAGTGCACTAGACTCCCATGTATATCTCAGGTCCACAGAGACTCAGAATGTGGAAGTCCCTTTCTCATTTATGGCCAAACTGAAGCATTTGCGGGATTCTCCAGGAAACACCTTATTACTAGTTTGGGGACATGGTAACATTCCATGTCTTGGGGGTGACTGGCACTGGGTCCCTGCCATGAAGCTGAGCCCCACATGGTGGGCCAGGACAGAGCCGAGGAAGGAAGTTCCAGCCAAGTAGGGATATACATAGCAGACAGGACACAAGGAAAGCAGGGTCTCTCGGGGAACACCCAGGACATCTCCAGGTCAGAGGCACACAGGAAGTGTGGGGCCAATAGAAAAACTTCCTCACCTGAGGTCAGGGCCTGCAGTCTCTGGGGGTCCTGGAAAGAGAAGGGAAAATAGGGAAACACATGTAAGACTTGGAGTTTGGAAGGCACTTTGTCCTAAGAGCGCCCTGTAAGTAAAGCGGCCACGGGTCTACAGAAAGGGAAGCCAGGGCAGCACGGAGCTGCTTTTCTGGCAGCCACCTTTCCTGACCTCTGAGAACGTGCTCCAAGGCCAGTGGAGCCTCAGCCTTCAGACCCTCCCCTGGAGGTTTTGCACAGTGGATCTGATCCTCTCTGGGCCTTCAGGGTCCAGGATGATATTTCTCTCTAATTGCAGAAAAATGTTGGCTTCCAGCAGGAGGCATAAGCCATCCTGCTGGACAGAGAAGAAGACAGATGGACAAGTGGCTGACCCCTGCAGTGATGTGCACTGGCTACAAAGAGATGCAGAGGTCCAACATGACAGCACTCCTGAAAGCTCAGAGCTCTGAGACGCTCTGTGGGCCATGACAGGGAGCTTCAGAGGACCCAGGAGGGGAGACTGGCCAAGGGGCGGGGCTCAGTCCTCGCAAGATGCGCAGAGCCTCAGCCCCCTCCTCCCACCCACAGTTGTACCCCCTGACCTCCCACTCTCCACAGCACTAGAACCAGCCTCTGAGGGAGGAAGAGGGCTGGCAATGGAAAGCCAGTGGAGCCACATATATCTCCACCTCTCCACCCTGGGCCAAAGGCCTCAATACCTCCAGATGGGTCCCTGAGCCCCAGGGCCTGGTGTTGGCAAGGGGCATACCATTCACTCGAGCCCATGTTATGGGCTTCTTCTCCTAGGGACACCACTGGGGAGGTGGCAGTGAGAGCCAGCCATGACCGGGGCTCCAGCTGACCAGACGGCACTCACCTCGGAGGGCCTTGGATCGCGTCCTGGCCCGCTTGTCTTCATTCTCTAAGCTCATCTGTAAGAAAAGACAGCTGCCACGTTAAGAAGCTCCAGCCAGCTCCTCCCATTCCAGAATCATCATCGTGGGGCCATCAGTTCATTTTCTGGATCAAACTCTGGCCCCTGCTGTCCTGGCCCTGTACCTGCCCACAAAAGCCCAAGTGCGGGCCCTGCCCTCCTTAATCCTCATGAGCACAGTGTTTCCGAACACCAGGGGATCCTGGCATGGCAAGAAGCAGCACTGCTCACCTGGCCAGGCAGGTGCTGAGGCACCAGGGCAAGCTGCCCACCATCCATGAAGTGGGGCAGCCCAAATGCCCCAAGGCTTGGCTTCCCAAAGACAGAGATGCTTCCTTCCCACCCAGCAGAGGCATCAATGCCTCTAACACACTGGCTTCAGGCTATTGGATCCCAGCAGCCTAAGGCATCCCCTGCCCACACATGCTATAGCTTCAGGGTCTGGCTGCCCTGCCTGAACCCATCAGTGACCCAGATACCTATCTGTACTCTGTACCTGTGACCAGCCCCTGTGGGGATATTGCCTGCGACATGGTCTTGCTAGGAAATCAGAGAAGAGCCCCAGGAGGGTGACAGTCACAGATAGGACATGCCTGGGGATGAGGTCCCTGGGTACTACAGGCTGTCCTGCATCACCATGATGAATCTGAAAATAAAACCCTGGCACACTCTGTAGTGAGCAAAACAACCAGAGCCAGGCTGGTGGGGCATGTACACACCCCAGAAGGAGAGGGTAGGCTTGGCCTTCACCACCTGTCCCCTTGGTCAGAGAGGGAGTAAACCTACACCTATCCCAGACCAGGCACTCCAGGATGGCCAGGGCGACAGGCATGAGGCTGTCCAGGAGGAAGCAGGAGAGTGGGGAAGAAGTTATAGAAGAAAGGACTGGGGAGAAGCAGGAGCCCCTGTCTTAGGTGGGGCTTTAGGTCCTAAAAGCCAACAAGAGAGAAATGTCTACAGTTATCACCTGGGAAGAAAGAAAAAGGAAATTTCCCAATTAGTGAAAGGGAATTTGCAAAGTGAATCTCCCCACACAGCAGCATAACATACAATGATCTATGTGATTTGTTAAGGAAGAAAAATCAAACCTGGGTAATTTATAAAACCTCTCAGCTCTGGGCTGGGGAGCACAGAGCTACAAGCCACATGTTCATTACAGCCCTCCATAAAACAGAGGACAATTACTGTGATTTCTACTTTTGAAGCCAAGGCTCCCCATGGACCAGTGGCTCACATTTAAAGTGAGGAGAGGAGCAGGTGTCAAAGAGACTTCATGACATTTATGAGCCTTCAAAGGTGGACCGCTCAGAGCCCAGGCCCACAGCCTCCCAACACAGGCCTCACAATGGAGCCGTGCATCTGATGGCCAGGCGCTGCATTCAGCTGAAATGCAATCTATAGCTTTTTTTTCCCCCGTTCATTTTCCCAAGGAAATTGGCAAGCATTCTGTTAGGTTAAAGCGTGCCTTGGCAATTTGGATTTCCTGCAGATAAATTATTCAAAGAGCAGAGAATAGAGAGGGCTGCAGGGATGTGTAATGGGCGCTACTAGCACACTGTGAGCGCCATTGATGAAGCTAACAGCTGTGGCATTCATTCTGCTGAGCACCTTTCCATTTGCAATTTATCTGCATCAAATGGTCAAAAAGTGAGAAGTTCTCTTCAGCGCGTGAAGCTTTGAATCTAAGGGGGAAAGCTGGACTACAGGAGGAAAGCCAGGCTCTCTGATATGAGAATTGATCTGTAGGAGCCGGGTGATTTGTGACCTTGACACAAGCAGGAACGAGGACCTGCTTTCTAATGAGAACCCATGGTGGACAGGTTGGAGGCTACTGGCAAAGCTCTGGTGAAGCCAGCCACTGGGTCCACATGGCCTTCCTTGTCAGAACTCAAAGTGCTATGAGGTGGGTCTGCTGTCCTCTTGCCTTGAGGTCCTGCCCCACAAGGTGGCCATGCCCAGGGCACCCCTGTGCCCAGCACCACCCCAGCTCACCATTTCTGGATTTGGTGGCAACCCCCTGACCACATTCCCCCACTTCCACACAAGGACAGACCCTGCCCTCCAGGGCAGTTCACTGATGCCAAAGATACAGGTGCTTAATTTCTCACAGATTTGGTTTTTAAAAACTTGTTTCAGGGCTGGGGATGTGGCTCAAGCGGTAGCGCGCTCGCCTGGTATGCACGGGGCGCTGGGTTCGATCCTCAACACCACATAAAAATAAAATAAAGATGTTGTGTCCACCAAAAATTAAAAAATAAATATTGATTTTAAAAAAACTTGTTTCAAGCACAAACCAACAGGGTCTATTTTTGCACAACCCTTTCGCCTGGAGGGCGAAAGGAAAGGGCCAGCTCCCCACTCCCACTGCCGGGCCAGTGACCTTGCTCAAGGGTAACGTCCACTCTGCTTCTCTAACACCAACTTCATTATGCCCCCACTCAGCAGGCCTTGCAATTGTGACCAATATTCCAACACTCCCGCCTTCTGTGGAAAACTGTGGGAAGAGAACACTCCACAAATGCAAACATATTTTATTCTGCCACTTTAACCAGAGAGAGATGTCTCTTTGTTCATCTACTCAGTCTGCTTTCTTGGTTCTGCACAAGACCAGTCTCCCTAAGAGAGTGTTTTTGCTTTGTTCTGGTTTATATTTCTTTTTAGTAAAGTCAGGACCGATTGTGTAACTTCTTTCCAGACAGGCACAGCTCTCACAATGACCAGCTCTTTTCAGACTCTGCACAGTATCCTGGCCAAAAACAAGTCCCCTGAGCTGAATGTTTACCAACTCAGGTACCAAAAAGCAAATGCACCAGCACGTGAAGCCTGCAGGTGTGGCCACAAGGACACAGCCGACGTAAGTGATCCATGCCAAGACTGTAAGGGACTCACGCTTCCCTGCACCTGGCATACTGGCACTGACCTTCACCTTCACCTGCCCCTTCTAGCCCAAGCTCCACTGCCCTACCGCCCTGCCTCTCCTCCCCATCCCTCCTTCCTTTCTCTGAAGAATCCCTCACTTGGCCCCAGCAGGAGGTGTCCTGGCCCCAGATGGCACAAGCCTAGGCCTTCCCTTGGTCCATGCTTCACCCTAGGGAGGTGGGAGCAGGTCTCATGAGCAAGCACCAAGATGAGGGGCTAACAAGGCTGGAGAGACTGGCAGGGGTGAGAGGGTGAGCTGAGCAGGGAGACCTGAGGACACCAGGGGCAATACCTCTGGTGGAGTGTACTGCACCCCAGGGGCTCGGCTGCCTTGGGTCTCAAGGCCAGGCCTTGGCCCTCCCACCCACTTCTCCACTCTCTACTCTGCACCTGCGTCTCTCCTTCGCACGGCTCTTCTCAATCTGAAACGAGCTCACTCCTCTCAGACGTGAGTGAGGTCGATCACTATATGTCCTGCAGAGCTGTCCAGCACAGCTCATCTACAAAGGACAGATGGAGGGGTGGGGGAAAGGGTGGGGATGGTCAGAACTGCCTCTGAGTCCTGGCACAGGAGGGTGAAGCGGCACCTTCAGAAGGACCTGGGCAGAGACAGCTGTGGCGGCCTCAACTGAGGGAGCTGGGCTCTTGACACCAAGGGGCTGGCCACTCACCACCCTGGGTGGAAGGAAGGCACACTGGTGTTATTTTAAACATGCTGTCAAGGCCAGCAAAGCTGGAGAATCAGGGTGGGTCTAGGGGGACTTTTTAAGTCCATAGATGAGTAGATCACAGTGACCAGCAGGAGGCCTCCAGGCTTTTGTGCAACACTGTCCTCCAGAGACCTAGATTGGGGGCAGGTTCCTGCTGACCCCCAGGGAATGCAGGCAGCTCCTGCCCAGAAGAAACAGGACGAGGGAGACATGTACAGAAGAGGTGGCAAAGGTGACCCCCCACCCTGTTCGCCTCAGCAGCAGCCCCCTGGTCCAAGGAGAGAAGGAAGTACAATGGCTTCCTCCTCTCCAGGGGGAGCCAATGCTGAGCAGGGGCCACTGCCAAGAAGCCCTGGCAGCAGGTGACAGGGATCTGTGTAGTGCAGGCTCTGCCGTAGGTATCCTACTTCCTATTCTCTGGATCTCAAGAGCCCAGCTCCCTCAGTTGAGGCCGCCACAGCTGTCTCTGCCCAGGTCCTTCTGAAGGTGCCGCTTCACCCTCCTGTGCCAGGACTCAGAGGCAGTTCTGACCATCCCTTTCCCCCACCCCTCCATCTGTCCTTTGTAGATGAGCTGTGCTGGACAGCTCTGCAGGACATATAGTGATCGACCTCACTCACGTCTGAGAGGAGTGAGCTCGTTTCAGATTGAGAAGAGCCGTGCGAAGGAGAGACGCAGGTGCAGAGTAGAGAGTGGAGAATTATGTGCTCACATCCCTGTGCCCCACCAGGAGACATCGCAGCCACCCACCCACCCTGGCAATCGCAGTGGCCACTCTGCTTCCCTTAGGGAGACATCCAGCTGTGCATCCGAAACCTCCTGGCTTTCCACCCATTGTGCAACTGCTTGCAGCTGAATAGACAGCCTCCTTCTCTGGTAGAGCAACGACACCCTGCTGCATCATCCAAGGTGTCTGAGGGTCTCCTACAAGTTCTAAGCAGAGGATCTTGGCTTACTCCAATCCCCAGTTAAAAATTGTAGCTACAGAACAGACACCCTGATGAAGCGGCCATGTCGGCATCCACCTGTTAAAAACGCTGGCATAGAGAAATATCAGCACACAGCAGCATCCAGTGAGGTAGCCAGAAAGGACACACCAGTGGCACTTCCCTCCCCTGCAAGCAAGGACACGGGATCCCAAGGGGCTGTGCAGTCAACTCCACAACTCCAGGCACCCACTATTACGTGATTAGGGGCCCAGGTATTACATTCTTCCACGTCCAGAAGGGTTTCACAGAGCCACCACCCTGCCTGCACAACCCCCTAACACCCCATCTCCCCCCTTTCTGACCGCCCTTTCCCTGCCCTGAGCTGTCCACACACCTGGTGCTGAACTCAGAGGTGAAGGCCCCGGCTGCCCCACTACTTTGCACACCAGTTCTTCTCACCCACCTCCTGCCTCAGGCCACTGTCCT